CAAATGAAATCGATGGCTCCACAGTCGCTACTAACTGAGGCTGCAGCCTGTGGCTCCAACCCCTTTGACTGTTGGATACTCCTTATTTTGGGACTTGACATAATTCCCCAAGCATACTTTAAAGCAGTGGTCGCCAACCAGTCGATCGCGAGTGTGGTGGGGTACATCGCGGACCGTTAAAAAAAAAAGTAACAAAATAAATAAAAATAAAATAAAAATAATAATGTTTGAAAAATACGTTTTTAGATGTAAACCTATCATCCACCACTTGAGGTGCCACTTGATTGACGTATAAACACCTCAATAATATAATACATTAACCGTGCTTTACGTGAACCTCATCATGACACAAGAGAGGACGGCAGGAATGCAATTTCCCGTGTTCAGTGAATGCAACAGAGGCAAGTCACCAGACCAATCAGAGAGTTGCATGGAAATACACGTGTGCTTGTGTCATTCAAGCTCGGCTCTGTGTGTGTGTGGCAATAGCGCATTTAGTGTGATAGAGAGAGAGAGGGAGAGAGAGGGAGAGAGGGAGAGAGGGAGAGAGGGAGAGAGGGAGAGAGAGGGACCGGTGCTAGCGGGGACCGTGATGTTAGCATCTGGTTAGCTAGCTGCACTAACGGACATAAGGAGCTGTTTCCACAACAAGCTGGAGGAGAGTCCTCCCCTGTCAGACTGAGGGGCTCAGGTGAGCTAAAGGACTCTCTGAGTGTTTAGAACAGTTTTGTCACAAATTATTCATAAGATTATTTCCGAGGCACACCTTCATATGATCATTATAGTTATACAAACAATAAGAGAATAAATGAAAAACAGGTATGAAATACTATATGGCAGTAAAACAAGAATACAGTTTAAAAGGGGAGTGATTTGTAAAATATCCATAAAGAAAAAGAAAATCTGTTTACAGTTCTGTTTCTTATGGGTGTTGAGAGAGGTATCCAGATCTCTTCATGTTGCTCTCAAAGTGCACCAGATTGATGCTTTCAACTTCAATATTTAAAAAAAAAAAATCTTCCCGGGGGAGCGTCCCCCCGGACCCCCCTAGAGGAGGTGAGGACCCCCCTAGAGGAGGTGAGGTCCGCCCCCCACTCATAAAAAATAGCACTTTACCCCTGCCTATATGCCGTGAGCTGATTATGGAGCCTTCATTGTAACAGTAATTCAGATTCAATCAGCTTATATAAAAGGCCTCAAATTGGAAGCACTGCCTCGGCCGTCTTTTTCACTCAATTCTGCAATAGGTAAATCTCGCCTTTCACCTAGGCCGAGGTCGGTGATCTTGGGCTTAAAAAGGTTGGTGACCACTGCTTTAAAGGGTCAGTTCAGCCACATCTTAAGGGCAGCTGTTTTCTAAGTAGAATGGTCGTCCACCAATCGGGGGGTTGTTGGTTTGATCCCCAGCCCCTGGAGTCAACATGTCGAACTGTCCTTGGTCAAGATACTTAACCCCAGATGTCTCCTGAACAGTTTAGGAGTGTGTGTGAATGTTAGTGTCCCTGAGCAGGGGGCACCGTATACAGCTGCATCTGTATGAATGGGTGAATGCTTATTAAGAGGTTGCAAAGACTTGAAAAGGGATGTATAAATGCAGCCCATTTCAAAAGAAAATCATTTTTTTGACAAATCATTGGTGACCGCAGCCATATTATTTATTTTTGTATTTGGCCCACCATCTGATTTCAATGGAGATGAATGCAATTGTATTATTTATGTTGCTAGAGATTACCATGATATTGGATTACTTTACAAAGGCCTGAATCAAACTCGATCTTGGAAAAAATAATATCTCTGCACACAGTAGGTAAAGGGAATGTGGGTACACTGAGATCATTACATGCTTCATCACTGTATTGGCACTGGCACTTGCTGCAGATTTTTCCAATATGAACATAAATTCTAGTGACTTTTTGTTGGCTCAGGGCAAAACATAATGACTCTTGGTGATGTCACAAAGATGTCTTACCAAAAAATAAAAACTGACAGACTGCCAACTGCCCACTCAACCAATGTTTTCCCGACAAATGTCTCTATTGTTGTTGTGCAAATAATGTCTGTTTGGAAGACACTTACAAAGACTTCCGTCCTTTTAAAAGAGATGCCAGATCAGAAAACGCTCACAGGGGTTTTGAATGGAAGGCAATGACAAACGCTTATTTTGTTGTTAAGGTCTCAGGACTACTAAAAAACGAATTGAATCACACCCTGTCTGATCATTTGCATATTTACTGTCTCAGATAAAGTAAATATTCTACATGTCTTATACATCCTTTTTATACGTTTCCTCTCAATTCAACTTCACATATTTATTCACTTTGGAAACTTTGGGATCTCCAACAGAATTTGAAATAAAATGTTTAGGTTTAATAAAATGTTTGGCTGCAATGTAGAGTATATCATGATCCACCAATAGGTCAGCACGTCTAAAGAGCTGGAATTACTTTTTTTTATTTAAAGAAATGTGCCCAAACCTCCGTTATAGGCCAGTACACTTGACATGGAAATAATTTCACCTCAGTATGGAGGTGTAGAAGTCTCAACGTCTTCCCCTGGACTCTTGTGGTGTCTTTTACAGTAGCTTGACATATCTCTGCAGAGCTTTGCATTTAGCTGCTGGCTGTCCGTCTCAGCGGCCATTAGTTAGAGTAAGTAATTTAAACATAAATTATAGACAAACAATACATTTGATTTATATTATTTGCTTGTTTTGAAGCAAATGTAAGTTTTTGGTGGAAATATAGTTTTCCAGAAATAGATACTGACTAACTTATTTTAAAATGATCCCATGGCATTCATTTAATATGGGGAGGTAGTTCACAAGTAACATCAATGTTAACTTAGTCAAGTTATACAATACATGTACATCGTATAATATCCAGTATGCATAAACCTAAAACTGGGACATTTAATCATTTTTTCAAATCGCCTACTAGTTAGTCATTTCCCCAACAAAACAATAGAAAATAAACAAACAGAAAAGAACAAAAACACCCAAATAAAAAAAAGCATATCCTTAAAAAGGATTCATGATGTCAGTATTTCCATAAATGCCTCATAATAAACGGGGGGGGTTATACCAAAAGTTCTCTGGCACGTTGACTACAGTTCAACAGTTTAATCTTCACAGTGTTTGTTACATGTTTTTCAGGTAACTGTGAATAACCCGTTCATCATTTGTTCTAGTATTATGTCTGTATTCTATTTAACTGTAAGTATGCATTCAATTCCTGCAACACCCAAACTGAAAACATTCCTCATGTATCATCTAATTAATTGAACTTGATATTGTGAACACATCTCTTATGCTCATCATACTAAACAATGAACAAATTGATACATGTTCCTCTCACAGATGTACACAATAATTCCCCTCGAGTGGTGCTTCGGTGTGAGTGCAGTCTGCGTCAGTCTGGCCAAGTTAGAATCTGGAAGAGATCATGGTCAAGTAGTAGCTAGTTTGATTTTGTGTGCCACCGCTGGTTACAAGGAATCGATATCGAATCAAGGAGGGTTGAGTCTCCCAGATAAGCCCTCTTCGGCCACTCTGGCTATTCATCATAAGTCTGTAGAAACCTGATAGGTCAGAAGAAATGATATTCCGGCAGGAGCGGGGTCTCCTTATCTCTCCATAGCAGGGGAATAGGAGACATGCCGATCAATACCGGGCTGTTGTGTAGTACTTGCAATTATCAACAGCTGATTCTGTCCTCCCCCAGCTGCATCTTTTAATACCACATAATTACAAGTTGTGGGACAATGCCATGGTGGAAGGGGATTACAGCTTTAGTGTGCTTCAAGCTTTGAAATAGCTACAGTGTGGAAGAGGAGGATCAAACTGATTTTATTCGTACTCTGATATTTGGCTCTAATTCCCACTGTGATCTTTAGCTACTTCACTATGTGCTAATCAAATGTAAACCAACCACCAAACCTTCAACAATTGAAGACTAGAGGGTCTATTTTTTATTTTATTTCCAAACTGATATTGGTTTACCCTCCTCACATCTCTGATAATCAGAGGTGGGAAATAACTAAGTACATTTACTAAAGTACTGTCCTTAAGTAAAATTTTGAGGTACTTGTACTTAACTTGAGTATTTCCATTTCTCTTTAAAAATGTAAGTGGGCTCACTCTTTAAGTCATAAAAGAGTCAAATGATTTCAATATTTTACAAAAAGTCAATCAGACCTGTGTTTGTCTATAGGGTGTCAAACTCAAATACACAGTGGGCCAAAATAAAAAAAATGGGTACTAGTGGAGGGCCGGACTGGTTCAATGTTCAGTGCAGAACGTATTGAAATGAACGTATTGCACATATTAAACCTGGAACAAACAAAGCTTAAATTATTGCTTATAAAACAACATTAAACATTAAATAATCAGTTGCATTCAGTATCGGTACTTTTACTCAAGTAAACGTCTGAATACTTCTTCCATCACTGCTGAGTAACTGTAAGTAACTAAGTATATTTAGTCAAGTACAATTTTTAGGTACTTGTACTTTACCACTACATTTATTTTGTAGTTAGGCTATTTACAGATTTGGATTGATGATGTGAAATATAATCTACCCTTAAATCTAACACAATATATATATTCTGAAATGGACCAATCTGCACAATGGTAGTTTAAGTATGTTATGATGCCAATACATTTGTTCTGGAGTAACATTTTGATTGAAGGACTTTTACTTGCAACACAGTATTCCTACACTCTGGTAGGCCTACTTCAACTTTTACTTAAGTACAACACCTAAGTACTTTTTCCACCTCTGAAGGAAGACTTATTTTCCAACTTGGAGACATTTTTCGCTCTTTTATGGCGCCAAATTGTGGGAGGTCGTAACAAATGAAGCACGGGCTCCAGCAGCTCCTGCGGTATCCTGGCAGCAGCCTATCGCATGCGGCTGAGGGGCTTCTAATGATGGACCGGAGGCGGAGGCACCAAGGAGCGCCGGTGCCTCGGACAAACCAGGGAGCCTCACTTCCGAAACACACCGGCTGGAGACCGGACCTGTCTGCGATCTGAGCGAGGTGTTTCCGCAAAATGTGACTTTATTTCACATTGTTTGCGCAACTACTTTTTTTAAAGGATTTTCTTCTGGACTTTACGCAGTTTTTGGACACAGCCTCTCCTCCTGTGGAAGGATAACTGCTCTTGAGGCGACATCCATCCATCAGAGAAGTCAACTCAAACTGGAGTGGCTCTTTTGACGCAAACTCGTCAAAAAGCTCCCAAAGAAAGGCACTCTTAATCCCAAACGGACACCAGGATGCAGCATTTGACCACAAAGTTAAACCCAGGTCTGCTACACAGCGCACGAGCCACTCACACGTCGGACTAACCCATGTTGGAGTTCCTCGGAGAGTTGTGCGTAAAAGCATCACCGGACAGGAAGTGAACTAATTATTATTTAACCCCATCCCTCATTTCCATATCTTGCGTGAGTTGGCTGGACTGGAGCCAATCACCCGCCGAAGGGCAGCAGGAGTCGTAAAAGCGCTATCCTTCCTCCATCACCATCACACTGACATGCGCAATCTGCACACGGGCATCAGCAGCAGCAGGAACACTTCGTTTATTCCAGCTCCCCGCTCCGGCTGAAGGGTCCCACTCGCTGCTCGTAGATGAGCCGGGGTGAGGAGGCAGAGAGGCGCAGAGAGAGCTCAACATGTCCCGCCGCAAGCAAGCCAAGCCGCAGCAGCTCCAGGCGGAGGGAGTGGCGAGGAGCGCACCGCTCTGCCATACCGGTACGTGTGTTTAAAACCACTTTTACTGTGTTTACTGCAGCTGATGGGATAAAAACAACAACTATGAGTAGAGCTTAATTTAAAGACTTTTATTGCAAAGAAAAGGTTTAAGATTAAGAATGATTGTGGCTCAGACCATTTTACTATCTAAAATGTTGGACGAACTCTATTTTGCAAACTAAATTGAGTGGTTTAAATTGGTTCACAGTTTTATTTTATTTTTTACAATTTGAGCATAAATTAGTTTTCACACTTTGAATTTCTGAAGTGTGCTTGATTAAAAAATAAATGTCTAAACAGTCTATGAATCTGTTACAAGAATGGAATTAAATGTTTGATAGTTAAATTGTTTTTTGGTGTTTTAACCAAAAACGGTACATGTATTTATTTATTGGATATTTGGACACAGTAAAGTCATCAAAGTAACGTTATTCTGAAAACGGTAGGCTCCAAAACGATCAAACCTCTCATGAATTCAACTATTTTCACATGTTATTTAATGTAACTTTAACCGTTTTAGGGGATATGTGGGAAAGGCCTAATTCACCAACAATATGCATTAATATAACTAAAGCTGAAATACGTTTTAAATGTGTAGGTTATTTTGATTTGGGTTCGAGGCCTTCTTGACAACTATTACAACTGCAATGAGAAACAGTAATCTTATACGTCATTAGAAAATAAACTAAAATGAAATTGTGGCCTTAATGATATTACTTTTATGATAATAAAAGTGTATTTTACATGCATGCAGGACCCCTGGGTTTAACTGATATTCTTACTTTAAAAAATATCAATATTTTCACCACAAATTACCTAGAAAATTCACAATATTGAATGAATCTCAACATCCATTATATCATATATATAAACAATCTAGTTTTAAAATGATCAGCCCTACACTTTGTAATGAGATACCACTTCATCCTATTGCCAGCCCATGGTGTGGAACACTAACCATTTTTAATGATTTCATATTAAAATAAAAAATGTGATTTGATCATATCTGTAGGAAAGCTGGATGTTATTTGTACGTATCAGCACTGATATTATAACATACATAAACCTTTAATGTATTGGACAAGAGGTTATCCAAAAAACCCAAAAAATATGACAATTAAAAAATGTATTTGGCCTTCGCTCTCTAACTATTGTGCAATGACAAAATTGGTTTGCAACATGCTTGGCTGTAGCTGACAATTCATAAATGAATCTGAATTAATATAATCTAATATGATTCAATTGATTCAAGTATTTATTTATATCCCTGTCAACTTTATTCAACATTTAAGTCATACATCTGAAAAGCAAAAGGCCTGCGCATTAATTCAAATCATCCTCCCCTCAGTTCTTGTCTCATGTCAGTCAGTGATTTATTAATTATTATTGGTGTGTGTGAGAAGGTGTCGAGTGTGTTCGAGGCCCCCCCACAGCCCTGCAGCCAGGCGGGGGGTCTCGGTCACTCGGAGAGGGGCTTTAAGCCTGCTGATTTAACCTTTGTCAGCCTCACCCTGCGAGGGGCAAGTGCTCCACGTCTGCATCATAATACAATTAGTACATGTGAAGTGGTGACCTCTGCAGCCGCGGGTCACTCAGAGGCAAGAGGCTCTGCGCTGGCCCCACTCTGTTTGCTTTGCTGCTGCAGACCCTTTTCCCTGGCCAAACCACACAGCGAGAAACACTCATAAATCTGTTTTCTGCTCCTAACATAATGGATTGAGCGATCGGTGACATTTAAAAAAGACATGTCGATCAGTGTTATTATATTTGGAATCTAAATCAAAACTGATCTTTTCTTTGTTTTTCCTGGAAGAGAAACAATTCCCAAAATCCACAGGGAAAGTGTTTTCGCTCCTGTGTTTGCTGAATCGCCTTGGTGATCTTCAGACCACCCACATGGAGAGCCAGTCACTCTGATTATGTACCTCTTCACTTCCAAATATGTTTAACCCTCTCAACTCTTCTTTTTTACACCAATTTTCTTTTTTTTAAATCAATTTTTATGACACAGATGTGACACAGTTAGAAGCCTGTCATTTAATTAAAAACATATTCCTGGTTAATACAGACATGTATCAGTGTGTTTGCTTGAGGATCTGTTGAGTGTTCTGCTATAACTGTGAATACAACAGATGTCCCATTCGGGGTTATAGCTTGAACACACTGATACTCATTCTCTCAGGTGGTGAGAGTGATAACACACACGCATACACACAAACTATGTGCATAGTAACACACACATTCACACAAACTGCGTGCATGTATAGTCTGGTAGCTCACACACACACACACACACACACACACACACACACACACACACACACACACACACATTCATGGTCAATTTAACACAAAGACAGGCACGTTCAATTGTCCACGTTTACTGCGTTTACGTGCAGCATATGTCGGCCACACACACCCAGAACACACACTCACTACATTTCATTATTCATGATTTGGTTTAATCTTGTTGTTTTTAAATTACATTTGTTTTTATTTTCCCATTGCAATTCAAATTATTGCTAAAAAGTTCAATGAAATAACATATTGCCCATCTATTTTCTTTGGTGCTTTTTAATTGTGATTCTTAAATTTGTGTAGGGAAGCCGGAGTGTATGTACAAATCATTTACTATTGATTTCCCCAAATGTTCCATCTGGTAATGCTGTCTGTTCCCTAATGGGGCAAAGCCTGAACAGATGCAACAGTGATTGTAAAATCTTTTCTCAAACTACGTCACTTATGAGCTCCTGACGGAGGAGGGGAGGAAACTGTGATGTCAAAAGATCCCTTTCAAACTGACATTATAATAAATTAAATCCTTTAAAAATCGAAAAATGTGCACATATCATTCGGATCTTTTTTTCTGTTATAGAAACAACATGCTGTTAAAGCTGTGAGATTATACACGTTTTGATTGCCTTGTGTTTTGATGAAGAATCCCAAATGTGTTTTTCTGGGAATAAGAATACACTCAAGTTTTTCCGGGCCTGACCATGCTCATTAAGAATATATGTTTAACTTATGTTTCAAATTGCCTTGAAAATCTAAAATCTATGATGTTTTGCACAAATTACATTTACATTCAATTGTCAGCTGACATCACCCAATTTAACCACGTTTTAGGTTTTTAATCCAGTTTAACAACTATTAACACATTGTAGGTTTTGAACAATAGTAGAAAGTGCACATTTGATGTGCAGATGAGACAATACTTAAATGTATGAATGCAGAGGAAAATCAATATAGTGTATGAGATTTCATTATCTGTCTGAATGCACAATGGAGAGGTCAGATAACTTCATTGAACTTCATTGATTTTTGAGGAAGATTATTAACATCTGCAAACAGGGGGTGCCAGTTTAAAACCTTTGTCAACACTTTAAAGAGATGTTTATTATGGGCCTTGTAGAATTCTAAGATCCAAAGTGGTATCACGAACAAATGCTGCTGTAAATATATATATACATAGGAAAACTTTGTATTACATATCATCTAATTTGAGACATAAAAAGAGAAAGAAAGTGTCTAATATTTGCTATTAAAATGTGGTTTCCCATTTAATTTCCCACACTGTATGACAATGTTATACATTTGTTTTGGGTGAATAATTTTTTCTTCTACATTAAATGGTTTTCTTCTACATAAAAACCCATGTTAAAATCAACATGAATTGTTAGTTTTGGACACAGATCTTTGGTTCAGTGGTTTTTGAACAATGCTTGTCCACAACACAAGTTAAGAAAGATGGACTCACTGCTCTGTATGTAGGAAATAATTACAGCTTGATAAAGGAAAATGTGTCCCTCTGGTGAAATATCAGGACGATAAGTGAGCCATTATGCGTTCTTAATCAGTTTTTTTCATGTTTCAGGCATGGTGGAGGGCCTGTACAGAGAGAACACCAATGGAGGTTGCCACAGCAGACAGGAAACACACATCTGTGAACGATGCTGTGCTGAGTTCTTCTCCAGGACTGAACTGAGTGAACATCAGAAAGTCTGCACTGAGGATCCCTTGGTGCTGATAGTGAAGGACAATGACAGGATGCCAGTTCCTGATGAATCTCCTGTTGGACCCTCTCCGGTTCCTAGCGTTGCGTCTAGTGACTCGTCTGCAGCAGAACCCAGCTGTGGCCTGGGGGGGACGCTGGTGAACGACAACGATAGCCTGGACAATTTCGAGGAAGGTTTGGAGCGAGATGAAGCCATGGAGCTTGAGCATCACTTGCACGACAAACAAACCTCCAGCCCTCAGCCTCCAGATTCCGCTGAGACCCCCAAGATGTCAGCTGTTGACAGTTATGGCATGCAGAGTACAAACGTGACGCTGGAGATCCTCCACAGCACCAGGGTGGCTGTGGCTCAGTTCTCCCAGGAGCTCAGCAGCATGGGGACTGGAGGGAAGGCTTCAGGGGCCATCCCTGTGATCCTGGAGCACCTGCTGGCCCTTCAACAACAACAGGTCCACCAGCTGCAGCTTATTGAGCAGATCTGCAGCCAGGTAGCCATCATGAACAGACAACCAACACAGGCGGCGTTAAAGCCAGTCTCCAGATCCCTGTCTCTGGCCCCTATCCCTTTCCCTTCTCAAGGCACCATAGCTCCTCCCATCCTGCCTCTATCAGGAACCATGCCCTCAACCTTCAACGGAAAGGCTGCTGTTTCTTTGTCTTCTGTGCTTGAGAAGTCACACAGTCTCCCCTCACAAACTCTATATGGGCAGTCCACCTTCAGAAATGTGAAATGTACCTCAACGTCTTCAGAAACTTCCACCCCATCTGTCACCAGCTGCAGCAGCAACATCTCCACATTGCTGCTTCCTTACATGGGCTCACACAGCAGCGGCATTAGCTGCTCTCAGATGCTGAGCTCCTCCAGCCCGCTCCCCCTGGGACAGAGCAGCCTCCTCAGTTCCCCCTCCGGCCTACCATTTCTACCTCAGAGCCCCCCTAGCAGTGTCATTTTCCCCAATCCCTTGGCTAGCATCGCCGCCACAGCTAATACACTTGACCCTCTCGCAGCCCTCATGAAGCACGGGAAGGGGAAACCGCCTAACGGGCCCTTGTACGAAACCAAGCCCAACCCAGAGGAGCCTTTCTTCAAGCATAAATGCAGGTTCTGTGCCAAAGTGTTTGGCAGCGACAGCGCTCTGCAGATCCACCTGCGCTCCCATACAGGAGAGCGGCCCTTCAAATGCAACATCTGTGGCAATCGCTTCTCCACGAAAGGGAACTTAAAGGTGCACTTCCAGAGGCATAAAGATAAGTACCCTCATGTTCAGATGAACCCCTACCCTGTGCCAGAATATCTAGACAATGTGCCAACGAATTCTGGGATTCCCTACGGAATGTCCTTCCCCCCGGAAAAGCCTGTGTCCTCATGGCTGGAGAACAAACCTGTTGTAGCAACTCTGCCAGCCACTATGGGTCTTCCGCTTCCCTCCGCTATTACCTGTATCAGAGGCTCGAATGACCCTGTAAGTGTAACACCATCTGTTAAATCTCCCTTCCAGACAGCTCTTGGTGAATGTGTATCTTTGTCACCTAACCACAGAGGCAGTGAGGCTCATTTCTCTCCTGTTTCAGAGTTGAAGCGTGAGACAGAAGTGTCCAATATACTAAAAACAGAAGGGATACACCTGCCCCAGAACTGCTCCCTGATATTGAGAGGCAACCCTATAACAGAAGCACCCAGCACTACGATCCCATCTGTGGCCACCACGCCTGAACCCATCACCTCAGCATCCCCCCTCTCCGAGTCCCCACCTCTATCGTACAACTCGGACGTAATGAAATACCCAAGCGGGGATTTCCTGGACTCTATGCACACGTCTGAAACCTCAAAGCTTCAGCAGCTGGTGGAGAACATCGACAAGAAGATAACAGATCCCAACCAGTGTGTCCTCTGTCACCGCGTCCTCAGCTGTCAAAGTGCGCTCAAGATGCACTACCGCATCCACACCGGGGAGAGGCCCTTCAAATGTAAAGTGTGTGGCAGGGCTTTCACCACCAAAGGCAACCTGAAGACTCACATTGGCGTTCACAGAGAAAACCCTCCCGTCCAGGTGCAACACTCGTGTCCCATCTGCCAGAAGAAGTTCACCAACGCTGTTGTCCTTCAGCAGCACATCCGCATGCACATGGTCGGACAGATTCCAGACTCCACGCTCATAGAGGGGCTGCAGGAGATGGATATGTCCTTCAACGAGAGGAATTGTGATAGTCTCAGCAGCAATGACAATGACCTCCTTGATTATATGTCAATGGAGGATGATAATGAGGAAGAAGACGAGGAAGTAGAGAGTATGGAGGAAGTTGTAAATCCATCGAAACCCTTGATATATGACTGTTATTCACCGCCTAAGTCCAACATTGTTTCAAGTTTAGCCGCTCTGGAGAACCAAATGAGGATGATTGACTCTACTTTAAGCCTAAACCACTCCTTTGGTATACAATCTCTAACAAATGGTTTTAATGACATTAGCCAACTTAATTTTAAAAGATCTTTGGCAGAGAAAGGCGTGGAGAACTGCAGACTTAACAGCCCAAATGTTTCAGAATCTTCCTGTTCGCGTCGTGTATCGGGAGCTCCGATTCAAAGCAACTCAGAAGGCATGACGATCAAATCACCTGCAGTGAACAACAATAGGCCAGAATCCCACGAGTCTTTGGCAGCCTCAGTAAAGAGAGAGCAACCTGATTCTCCTACCTCGGCATCAGCAGCTGCAGTGGTCCAAGAACTGCGAGGAATACCGGCCAGCAAGCTGTGTGTGAAAGAGGAGACTCCTTATAGTATGTCCTTCCAACTGAGCCGAGAAAGAGGTAATCTTGCAATGTTGAAATGCAAATGTTCATAGCCTACTAAAGATAAATATGTGTTTTTCTTTTGAAGATGATTCAATGATTGATCCCCTTTGCACTTTGATTTCAGCTGCAGGTCAAAGTATTCCCACCCTGGTTACCAGCACATCGTCAGGGCTGATAAAAACCGAGATGAATGGTCATAGTCAACCGAACAATTTGTCTGAAAGGCAGCTCCCACCGTTTAGCGTCCACATCCCCCCAGCTTACGCTTCAGTCGGCAGCCCAGGAATGACCTCCCTGCTCGGCCCCGCGCCTCCCCGTCGAACTCCGAAGCAGCACAACTGCAACGCCTGTGGGAAGAACTTCTCTTCTGCCAGCGCCCTGCAGATCCACGAGCGCACACACACCGGAGAGAAACCCTTTGTCTGCTCCTCCTGCGGCAGAGCGTTCACCACGAAAGGCAATCTGAAGGTAGATAAAGGAGGTTTTTCTCTGTTGTGCTGTCAAGCTGATAGCTCTGTTGGTATATTTAGAGGTAATTATCTGCCTTTTGTGAAATATAAGATGAATGGTTCTCAACAACAACAGAAAAAAAACAAGTGACTGGTCAATCAATTTTAAAAATTACATTTTTGTAATTACACAGCAAGTGGGTCTTTTGTTGTATGTAAGGCAGCATACATGGCAACAACATAACCTCCCTGTTATTTTATAGAAACTAATCATTGACCCATGTGTGTTCAAAAGAAAAAGAAAAAGTAAGCCAGTTTGTAAATTTAAATCACTGTTACTGTTCAATTACGATTTAACTCCCTGTTTGAACACAGATCATTCCCCCTTTTATAAAAGTGCATACATTCTTATTTAATTACAACATATTTATTCGCACAGGCATATGCGTCCATTTCAACTAATGTAAGAAAAAGACAAAACATTTTCTTAAATTCAAAATAAAAAAGCCACATGAAATTCTGTAGGAATTATGAATGCCCTGACTATAATTAGGTGCAACATGTCTCCTATGATATTGTTTCAAGGTATGTTTTCCCCCATAAGCCAAAAAGCATGTTTATAACAATTTGAGTCAAGTCACTTTCGAAAGAAAAATCAGTAAAGGGCTGGCATTTACAATTATTTCCTCATTGATTAAGTTGCAGATACATTTCTCCATGAATTAGTAATACATTGTTGTCATAAAATGTCCCAACATTTTGAATATGCATTACAAATGTTTTGTTAAGTCTAAGGTCAAAACCTAAAATAATTTCTCCAAAGAATAGCATCAAATCTTAACCTTCCACAAGTTTGTACCAGCAAATACCTAGTGATTCTTTGTATGAAGTCTTACTTTCTTGCTGATCAATTTTCTGTTGGGTGACTAAGCATGAATCAACTTTCAAAAACCCACTCTAGTGGAACTACACTTCCGTCAGATTTGGTAAACACAGATTTAATCAATTAAAACAGATATCTGAAACCTTTTCACATTTTATTTAAAAAAGGCTATTATATATAGAATGAGTATTATAGTGTAATAGATAATAAAGCTGCAGCTGTTAAGGTGTAGGGGGCTGGATATTTACTGCGACAACCCATGTTTTTTTGAGAAATAAAAGCATACATCAAATCTAATTTCCTGTCATTTTCAGGTTCATATGGGAACTCACATGTGGAACAATGCACCAGCCAGGAGAGGCCGGCGTCTGTCAGTGGAAAACCCCATGGCCCTGCTGAGCGGAGATGCCGCAAAGTTTGGAGAGATGTTTCAGAAAGACCTGGCAGCTCGAGCCATGAACGTAGATCCTGGATTTTGGAACCGATACGCTACAGCGATCGCCAACAGCCTGGCCACGAAGAACAACGAGATCTCAGTGATTCAGAACAGAGGCATCTCTCAGCTGCACCCTCTGACTGCAGGCATGGACAGAGTGAGCGCCGCAGGAAGTCCAATAAACACTCTAACCAAGACAGGCATGGACCTGGGGAATAATAGGCATTTTTCTATGCTGATTGATGACAGCAAAGAAATTGGAATCAATTGAAAAAACAATGAATGGAGACTTAATACTTATGCAATCTATTATGAACATTCAAATATTTGTAAAACCTCTTGTTTGTTCGTATGTATTATATATAGACTTAAAAAAGAACTTTTTATCAATTGACAAAGAATAGTTGGGTATTCACATTTTGCTATTTTACTTTGCCGTCATTTGTGAATGTTTGTTTTGGTTCCAATACATTAAAAAGTTGTTTATCTTGTACCTGAGAATTCCTAGGGTGCTGAATAAGGGGAACATACTGTATGTTCAAATCAATAATGCAAAGAGTCTGTTATCTCCTCCGGACAGCTGCCCAATGCTGCTAGCTGGTGCAAAGCACAATACATGCTCATGAATACCCACAATTAAGAGTTGTCAATATTATGGTGAGAAATTGTTATTCTTAAACAACAGTTGGACCCAAATAAAAACTAGAACAAACAGTCTGTATGTTCAATTCACTGCCTCACTCTGCTAAACACTTTCCTAATGTTATTTTACACATTAGAACAATACATGCTCAGTTTTTGTTGTAAACACTTCAACTAAGATCTTTCATTTTATTTCATTTGATTTCATTAAGCTTGATTACTTTTTCTTTATGCATTATGTAAGCTATAAGTATTTATTTCCCACAAACAAACAGGATCAAGCAGACGTAACTTATAAAACAAAATCTATTTGTTTAAATGTGGTTTCTGCATCTTGTTAATCTTTTCTGTTCTGTGTCGCAGGCCTACAACATAACTGAACTCTTCTCAAGCTACACTCTATGAACACAATAGATGATTATAATTATACATAATAATAATAATAATAATCACAATTTAATAAGCTAATTTATTTTTTGGTGCAATCCGTTTTAAGCATAAATAAGTTTTGAACAAATGTTGTGTTTTTCCTTTTCATCTCGTCTCCAGACGTATGATATAAACACTGTCTACTTAATAATTGATCTGGGACACATTTAAATGTTTTTGTTTTTTTTAGATTATCGAGAATATCATCTGGGATTTAAGTGAAAAAATAAACCAAAAAGAACAAATTAGGTTTACTGTAGCTAAAGGCCTATGCAAATAAACAGTCAAAAAGCAAATGTTCATTTATTATTCGCCTTTGCGGAGCTTTCAACCGTATCTCATAGTCTTCATCAGCTGGTTATCTGCTCATCATGGCTCTAAATTAGTTTTCAATGGAAAATAAAAGATGCATTCGTTGACTCTCGAAATTTGGATACTCCGCATTGTTCCATTCAACTAGAACAACTTTTAGAAGAACACTTATTTGTTTATTTGAGTTATCAATGGTTAGTGTTATGTTGTGCTACGTCAATGGAATAACTGGAAACAATAAGGAAACCCTTTGTGTTCTCTAACCTAAAACGCACTTCTCCATTATATATTATTATGTACGATATGTCTGAATAGTAATTGAACGCAGCATAACTCCTAAACGTTTACGTGACGTCAGGATGTGTACTGCCCAGCCAAGATGGCTGACAGCATCCCGTTAAATCCGTTACGGAAGAACTCGAGGAGGATCCCGTATTACAACTCAGCCAGACTTTCAAGGTATGGAGGAGCCAGCTGACATATTTTCTTCTGTTGCCTACTTAAGACACAGCGGTTTGTACCAAATGTTTAAATGTTTTGTGCCTCAGTAGCTCCCTGGTGTATGTTTGTGTTCTGGTTGTAGCTGTTAGCTTGTGTGCTAGCTCTGCTTCTGACAGCTTCTCGCATTATCTTCTTTGACAGCTGTTTCGTGAGCTAACACCAGTTTCCATACAATTACAAACCCTTCTAATTTTAGTATACCTTTATTAGCCCAATACCACAAACTCTATAACCTCTTAGTTAGTGACATATATCCCTTTACCACTGCACTGCTTAGTACCCTGCTGGCATTTCATTTAAAGTCACATGATAGCTTCTGTGTGTTAAGTTCGTCACATGTTATAATAATGTGTTGCATACTGGATACATACATTGCATACATTCACCCGCTTGTTAATTTTTCAGAGAGGACAAGCCCTTAGATTCAGATATGGAAATGAAGGAAACTAGTCGCATTATCAGGTACTTTTAGACTAGATGGTATGTTGTTTAGTAGTAGTAGTGTTTACATTGTATATTGATATGAGTAATGGTAGCCCATCAGTAGTGTATGTAGCACCATTTGTTTTGATGTTTTCTCTTATCTCGCATTTAAAGAATGTCAGCCTTTCTGTATTCCCTTCTCTTGCTCTCAGTAATTACATTCATGTGGAGTTATTTGGGGAATTGTTGTGGCTTCTGCTGGATCAGAAACAGATACAGAGCAGCGGGTCCTGAAGCTGGTAAAGCCACATTATCTAAGCTTTTTTTTTATTGTAACGGGAAGTAAATGTTCAAATCTAATCTAACTTTATTTATGAAGACACAAAGGTAACTCAAAGTGCTTCACAAACCAAACACATAGACATTTAACAACATATAAGAACAACACTATCTCCTCCTTCCCAGGTATAATCCGGTATAAGAATAATAAAAATGAGTCAAATAATAATCTAATAATAATAATAATAATAATACTACAAAGACACCTCACTATGGGTCTTTGTTTTAACTTTTGGTATGATTAAAAGAGGCCAGAACCAGATGACCTGAGGGTAATATAGGTAAAACCCAAATCTGATAATATCTAGGACCAGGACCATTAAGAGCTTTAAAAACCAATAAGAGTATTTGAAAATGGTTTACTACAATGCTTGTGCGTCACTGGAGAGTCATAAAACCTTTCCAAACCCACCCCACGCTTCCATTAGAGTTAGAGTTTTGCAATCAGTTGTGGGAGTTATAGATCATACAAACACTTTAGATGTTAGTGTTTCCTGTTGGAAGGTCCCAACAGTTTGTAAACAAAACAGTGATGAGAAGTTGGTGGTAGCCTCGAGCACTAATGTGGCTGAGGTCAAAACCTCAGGAGATGATTTGCATGTTTTCAACCATATCTAACAAACACTACCTAACGCTGCTTTTTCAATATGTCATTTACAGTTTGCTACAGTCCCTGGCTTTTGACAAAGGTCCCACTTGTTGCAACTAATATTAAGGCATTCAATAGATCCTCGCTTCTCTTTGAAGACTTTTCAGTGAACCTTTGAGCAGAATTAGTGTTTTCTTATCTTAAGGCATGTTATTGTCTTCTTGCTGCTAACTATCTTTCCGATTGCCATGGTATACGTTATTTTTGATGTGTTGACAACAATAGTTCACACTCAACATCGAGTACTTTGTAGTTATAGACTAGTAACAAATAATAATAATAATAATAGATTTATTTTGTTAGCGCTTTTACAGGTGCTCAAAGACGCTTTACAGATATAGTGAAAAGAAAAGAACAACAAATAAATATATAGTTAAAGTGAAATAATACAAAAACTATCACCATTAAAAGCCAGATTGAAGAGGTGAGTGTTTTGAAGGTGGTGAGGTCAGTGCGGTCTCTGATGGGTTGGGGGAGTGAGTTCCAGAGGGAGGGGGCAGCGACGGAGAAGGCTCTGTCCCCCCAGGTCCGGTGATTGGTGCGGGTGGGGATGGATAGGAGGTTGGCTAGTACAAATAACAGTTAGGATGAAGCCAGTTTCGCTACGTGAGGTCCATTAGTTTAATTGAGGGTTCAAAGCAAAACTATGATTCAGTTATGAATGCATTTCAATCATTTACATATTGTGACTCACTGCTTACGAACTCTCAAAGCAATGAAGATCATTGACTGTCACATGTTTCGAACTCTTCTTCCTCATTGGGTTACCTTGGATCAGCCAGGGTTATGTAAACAAGACCTTCATAACCACCTTTTACCAAAGTGTGTCAGAAGCTAAATCACATGCAAACACCCAGCCTCCCAAAAGAACACCCAGAAGTGTTTGGCTTTGAGCGCTGTTTTTGCTCAAGGTAATACCCCTATATTATAATACTTTTGGATAAAAAAAGCATGTTTTATAATCTATCAGCCTCCTTAATCAATAGGAATAGTTAATGTTCACACTGTATAATTACATCATCTCCCCACTTGAGGATTTCTTGTAATTGTTACTCCATATGATAAAGTATACGTTTGAATTCAAATGTGTACAGCATTAACCTGTTGTAGCACTACATATCAAGTAGTGCAGGCTACTGTAGGTAGTTGCAGTTGAATTAATTGGGGTTTGGTTTAAGCTTGTGGTATCATTTAGGCTTTATCACATGATTAAGATACTGAAATGTATTTAGGAAACATAGGAACTGAGAATCAACCAACCAGTGGTTAAAGCCTTGATGTCACAGTCCACACTGGCTATCATTATGCATGGGTGGATACATTCTATGGGACTGAAATGTATCTTAATGATCTGGGTATCATTATCTGTCTTAAATGTAAGGTACAGGAGCTCTCAGAGGAAACAGGAAGTCATGTTGCAGCCAGCAGCCTGCGTCATTGAGCTCTGGAGGGACATATCAGTATGAACGGTTGATGTTAAGATCCTAATCCCGCTGTTGGTAGTATTTGTTTACATAATGTGTTTTGTAGGTACAAGACAGGGATTGGTGTACAGCAGATGGGCATTTCAGGCTACTTATATTCCATATCATATTTTCTTTGGGCATTGTAACCATATGGGAAGCCACACGACAAATATTTTGTGTTTTTATCCTTCAACCCTTTTTTCAAATAGCGTTTGATGTGCGTAATTCTAACGATTCCCAGAACTGTGCATTCGCATTAGGGCTGAACGTTTAATCGATTTTAAATCGAAATCGCGATTTTAAATGATGCAATTATCAAATCGCAAAGTGATGTGTGTCAGTCATCCACACCAATCAGAAGGGCTGTGCTCCACATGCACCAACCATTGTTAACCAATCAGAAGTGGCCCATGATAGAAGGTGATAGACAGATTGATCCAATCACCTACCAAGTATTTTTGAAATACTTTTCCAAATGGCTTCCAATGGAGCTTTAGATGGTTTGGTGAAAGCACCTGAGTCAGGTTAGTAATGCTCCATCACGTGTTTCTATTACAGGGTGAATCTGAAACTGAAGCTTGACTTTAAAGCAACCCAACGGAAGTTTCATGTAAGTTTAGTTCTTTCACTCTGAGCTCGGGCTGCGGGGGTGCTAGAGACGGGAGCACGTTGATACGACCTTCCTAGCTGGAGTTATGGCCGCATTTTACAATAAACTTCCGTTGGGTCGCTTAAAAACAAATATCGCAAATCGAATCGCAATATCTGTCAGAAAAATCGCAATTAGATTTTTCCCTAAATCGTGCAGCCCTGATTTTCATGCAGTTGAATAAAATGAAGAATGTAACTGTGTGCACTGATGTTTTGCAGTTTTGATATAAAACAGCAATAATACACTTAAGTCTCCAATGTATGACTCTACACAGCTGTTGTTCTATCAATAACACTGGGTGTTACATTTTATAATCACTCATGATTCACTCATATCCACACCCTGTGTGCAGAACATAGGGACGCATCTATCAGTAGATATTCAGCAACACCTGCGGTTAACACCTTCGCAGACACTCACACTCTCCTTCTGGAAGGCAAGAGGAAGGGGATATCATTAGACAGTAGCCCATGGTTTTATTACTATATGTTGAAGTAGGGTTTTAATTCAACAAGCAGTTATTTGTAATGAAAGCAAACAGGCATTGCAGAGAGAAGAAAGACTTGACAATACAACAATGGCGTTCATTGGTTCTGAAGGTCTCCTAATGTCATCTTGGAAGTGTTTATTTTAGTTTATAAAAAAGTAGTTCTGTAGGAACAGCTTTAACAGCAGTAGGCACAGTAGCAGCTTCCTTATTATCCTATCAAAACCAGATTTGGGTTTTGCATTGTGACTTCCTGCTACTTGTCTAATTTCTACACAAAACCCATTACATTTGTGTATATCAATCAATATGGAGGCCTGCTGTCACATGGAGGCCTCCAGTAAATGCGTGGTTGCAGAAATAATTGGTGATGTTTTTTCAGCAGGTAAACAATAGTTTAGGCTCAGCTACATGCCAGCAGAATGGGCAACGGCCTTGACTTCATATTAACCAAGAGAGTATCTCCTCTAATAGTAAACTGCATCTCCTCCCTTTGGTTCGCAATCCTCACTTCATCTACAGCAGACTATAGCCCTTTCTCATTTCCCAATTTTCACCTCCTCAACTCCTCTTGCCTCGACTCCTCGCCTCACGTCTTAGTCCCGCCCACAGGAGATGCGAGCGTAAGAGTCGAGGAGGGAGTAGCAATAACAATAACAGGCTGCAGATGCGGGCAGGCGCCGGTATGAATTGACTGAGGGGGAAACCTTTTTCATCAAATGAAATGAACAGATTTAACTATGGAACATGCTGTAGACATAATAATAATGACATACATATACGATTTCAGAATCAAACAAGTATCAAAGCACTTGCACTATTAACGTAACATTATCAGAGACTGGATATCTTTCCCTCACCTCTCTCTGGTCCCTACAATAGCAGAAACTCAATTACAGGCCAAACGTTTTATTTACAATTCTTAAAAGTAAACAGGGGAAACCAAACTGACTGAGACCTGTCCTGCCTGTCGCTCTCACACACACACACACACACACACACACACACACCACACACACACACACACACACACACACACACACACACACACACACACACACACACACACACACACACACATACATCCCTACACATAATAAGTAGTGCTGAGTAATGTAATGTAATATATGAGCCTCCTCGATGCTCGGTCCTCGATGTGCATTAAGTGAAATGAGATGTCCTTCAACGTGGCGCACTGACATCGATTTCCGGATCACTACCGGAGGAGTCGAGGAGGGGACAATGTGAGAAATGAGAATGGGCTTATGTGTCTCATTTAGCAGATTTTTCAATAGAGACCTGTAAACCTCTCCCTATTATTTACTTACATATGAACCAAATGCTAAACATGATATAGATATGCTGAGTTTCCTGCAGTTTGAACTCCTCCACAAGTTTGTATATGTTTTGCATCTTCTCTTGATCGTATATTGTGACAGTGTAAATAATGCATACATACATAATGCTGAGGTTTACGGTGACTGAGCCAGGATTGTGAGCCAATGTTGCATTTCTGTTAAGCTCCAGGCTGCCTTGATTCTACACTATACCTCATGAATAAGTCATGATGTGCTTCTCCAGAGTGCATCCAATGCGTCTTTATAATGTGAATAGGAGACACACTCAACAGTACTTAGTGATGGAGGAACTGATGCACTGCGCTAAATATCTTTTAATCTTGGCTTTTCTTCAGACTTTTGCTAGAATCTGCACATCTGGAACTCTGTCAACTGACTACAGAAGGTCCTTAGTTGCCCAACAGCTTGTAGATCATGTTTAATTCAGCAACCAGTTGGATTCAAAGCGTAATGATAGGGACATGTTTCAAATGTGCTGGGTTTATTATCCTCAGTGTAACTTAATGTAAATAGAATATCATCATTATTGAATACAAATCTTTATATTTTGTACATAACAGTATCAGGGCTGTAAAGAATACACAATGTACAAGAAGACAATCACATTGATGCCAGGTCAAGCCGCCCCATCCTCCACCCTTTCATACCACCCCCTCCATGCCCAATAACCAACACACATCCTGCCCACTAACTCATCCACCCCACCTTGTCAGACCACCAAGTTCTTCAGAATATGTACCTATTTAAAAAAAGAAACGGACATTGTGTGTCAATGTAGTTGTGATAGCAGGCTTTAAATAATTTGTTTAGAGAAACAAACACCTAAAGTTAATATTTTGAGATCTAAAGTCCAAGGCTGGAACATTGTTTGCATTTATACCTTAACACAACATATTATCATTCTTCATTTATAATAGTATGTCCTTGTCAGCACAATCCATTGAAGTTCCATGGCAAGTTATTTTTCTAAATAATTGACTGTCCCCTGTCCTGGCAGATACTCCCTGGAAGATGAGCCCTCTAACCTGGACGAGATGCCTCTGATGATGTCGGAGGAAGGCTTTGAGAATGACGAGAGCGACTACCAGACCCTGCCCCGGGCCCGAGTCAGCCACAGACAGAGGGGCCTTGGCTGGTTCCTGCTGGGGGGGTGGAAGGTCCTCTGTGGCAGGTATTTCTTCACCTTTTGCATTATTATTCTTTAAATGGTTTTATTTGAACATGATGATGCACGGGTCTCATGTAGCTCAACGTTCTTCCCTTGCTCAAGTTTACTCTAACTCCTGCATTGGAGAAACGTTTTTGAACAAATATCAAAACTATAATGTAATCCAGAAAGTGTATACTTTGTGCCTCTGCAACATGTATTTACCTCTTACTATATTTTTCCTGGGTGGAAGCTTTAATATTATTCTTACATTTTTTACACTAATTGCAGATTTATATATTGCAGTATTTTTACGACATGTCTCTGAACCAATAACCACAGGGTATATACATTTTATTCTAAAATGAGGTTAATCATTGTCCAGGTCGTATGGTCAGGTACTTTGCAATAAAACTGACAGGAAAATGACATGTTAAAGCAGCAACAGGAATAACATCGTACAGGAAAGAACAGTACAACAAAAGGATAATAAGCATAAAGAATATAAGTAACAGCATATAATAAAATCACAAAAATAGAGTAAGGTGAAACTGTTGATGTATATACAGATTTGAATAGTATAATTATTTATTTATGTATTTATATATATATATAAATACATGTTTATTGCTTTCAAACTTAAACAAATTCCTGTTCTGCAATACAACCTCACATCAGGAGTTATTGTCCTTCCATTTGGACCTTTTCCCCCGCTCTGAAAGTGGTGGTTCTGTTTTGTCACTCTGTAAATGTAGTGTATACTGTTAGCGAGTACGCTGGTGACGATCAGTTTGGATTTCGAACGCACCGGTAGCTGTGCATGAAGTGCAAAGAGAGGATAAGGGCATGGTTTTTGGTCGAGTTCCTCGATGCGCACCATCAGTCCAAAAAAGATTTTCAGGTCAGACACAGCGCTGCGGTTGATCCAGCTAATGATTCATTTGAGAGGTTTTGCCCTCTAAAGATGCTCCTTTTTTTTTTTAGAAGTGTTTGTTCGTGCAATAAAGTGTAACATTCATACACACATGTTTGTTCAGTGCCCATAAAGAAGCGTTTACTAATGAAGGACTTCCATGGAACATTCTCTGTGTTGATAGCAATGCATCTCCAGTTGCATATTGATCCCCCCCCCCCCCCCCCCCCCCTCTAATGAACAAATTGGATTTTTCACAGCTGACCAGTTTGATGCTTTCCAGTAATTTTATGTGTGCTTAGTGTGGGATTATAAAACTCAAATAATTCACGCTGAATAAGCCCTGACTGTTCAAATAGCATATCGTTTGAATAGCATGCATTTGCTCAAATAATGGCTCTTATGAAACCGGACCGGGGGTGCTCAGAGACAGAGAGCAGCGACGCCAATACAAACAGGACTTTTCACCAAAGTTGATTTATTTAGTTTCATGTTTTGCCAACTTGCTTAAAACGTGGAAAAGCCAAGTCGATCAGCATGACGGTATACACACACACACCCTCTCATCTTCCCCCCCAGGTGCCAGCGCTCTCATTGTAATTTACCCCTGCACTACACCTCTGTTTGCGTTTGATATCAGATATGCTAGATAAGCTCCAATGTAGTCATTAGCAGGTTGATAGAAAGTCAAATACTTTAAAAAAAGTAAATGTCACAATCCATCAATCTAATCTCCTCTCAGAACTTTGATAATATCACAATACTAACTGTACATGTGGCTGGTTATTGAATGTTAGTAAGAGTCAACATGAGGTAGAACCAACTCAAAACAAGTGTTTATCACGTTCACATAAACACACAAGCATTATTTTTGGTTCTTAAAATTCCTCTGATTTTCAATTCCCATAGCCTTTACAACTTCTCAACAATTCCTCCTGGGAATATCTTAACATTTCACATCATTTAAAGGTGCGGTAGGTAATTCACTCCAGAAACACTTTTTGTTATATTCCATGGAATGCTCTTAACATCCCGATAGCAATGAATATATTAAGTGCTTTGACAATAAATACATAAAAACATGTCATCTGTGGAAGCCGGAGTACTGTAAACAGGGCTCGCAATTAACGATGTCCCGATGTCCCGATGTCCCGATGTCCCGGGGACCATACAAATTCCTACTGGGACACAAATCTATTTTGTCTGGGACTATTTCGGGACAGTGAAAAAAAAAATAAAAGTAAACTTCAAAATGGGTGTTATTTGCAAAGTCATTGGGCTGTCAATCCGTGCACAGAAAGCTGTTTGTGTTTGCAGGTTCAGGGGATTTAAACGGAAAACAAATATGTGAGGATCAAAAATACATATGTAAAACTTTTTTCTGTATTTGGATTTTATTTACATGTATATGAAACGGAACACATTTGCGTGTGCATTGAAAAACACAAGTGTGGATCCGGAAATACAAGTGTGAATCCTTCTGTGTGCATGTGTGTATTATGAGACTGTTCTGAGCCCATAATAACTAGTTTAGGTAGTTTGAGAGGTAATTAAAATAGCTATGTGTGATATTCTAACCTGAAGTGTGTGTTTTGTCCGCTCACCGCTGCATGTGATCATGCAGAGCTGCGTGTCGAGTCTCGACTCGACAGCAGCAGCTGATCTCTCTCTCCCGTCAGATTAGACTTCACTCGCGTTTATGTCCATATCGATCAGATCCAGCTAGTTCTAGCTAATGATATGACTACCTGCTTATTAAAAGACACCTAAACAATAAGCGTCGTCGCTATGCAACCGGGTGAGGCCGCAAAGTATAGCGCAGCATTATGCATTTGTTTACATGCCCACCGGAACCCCGAGGCATTACCAACAGATCAACGCACAATCAACCCATACAGGACATCTATTTCTCCACATTAAGTGTTAGACATTAGAATTGACTCTTCGGCCCAATCCCAAACCACTCCCTCGACCCTACCCCTCCGTGATGGAGTGAACTCCGTCTGTAGCCACACTCGCAGCTCAACGACGCTCCCTCCTGTCAGATGGAGGGAGTAAATACAGCAGCAAGCTTTGGGACGGCCTCCCCTCTCTCCGGCAGAAACAGGAAATGCCGTAACTGTATGTAACAACGGTTTCAAATCCGCATCTCTTAGACAAAAAATGTAAATTAATAACTCAAATAAAACTCCAAACATCTTTCATTGTGTTACTTTTTTGTAAAGCTCTTTTAGTTTTAAACCTGATGTTTATAAGCTTCTTAGTTTTTGCAACAGTCTGTAAATATACACAACTTTATAATAAAATGCACACATTTACCTTTTTCTAGAATAAACTCCGGTACGATCCTAAGTTAAAACATATGAGGTTATCATGAGGTTGTTAACATCGTAGTTTATCAGTGGATGTTTGCTGGAACTACTTGTAAACAGCTTGTTTCCTGACGGACACACACAGCGTGACTCCGGTCAGGTAGAGACCGGTCTCAAGTCAGCACTGCTGCAGACTCGTTGTTTGAGGGCTTGATAGCCCACTCCCCCTCCACACTGCTCCACACTCGTTGGTTTGGAACAGCCCTCAATATGGCGGACCCTCCGCGTGAACGCGCAAACGGAGGGGTAGGGTGTAGGGGGCGGTTTGGGAATGGGCCTTCTTGTCTGTCACATACTCTTCTGGTCTGTCAGAGACTCTTCTTGTCTGTCACATACTCTTCTTGTCTGTCACATACTCTTCTTGTCTGTCACATAAGTGGCGCAACTGAAGCGGTATTGCACTAAAGGGAAATTATTTTGACCGAAGAGATTTAGATTTGCAGGCTAACAGGAACTCTGACGTCGCCATTTTGTGTGCTTCGCGGATGCGCTCGGCTCCTCTCGACTGCTGCTCGGTCAGCTTCCGGATGAGGAGGCATTCGTTCGACCAACTTACAGTAGATAACATTGCAAACATTTTTAACAGGGGCCATAATAGTGTAAATAATGTTGGTTTTGCAGTTATAACTGAATGTAATGTTTTCTACTTTTTTACATCTGGGAAGGCATTTGCCTTCATCAGATGGAAAGTGTCGAGTGAATGAGTGAGAGCAAGATGATTGACATTCATGAATGAAAATAGAAGATCAATTTATATTCCTATAGTACTACTGACTTGTGAGGATAACTTGTAATTATAACTGAAAACAGATACATTTATTAAACTGTATTATGGAACTTCTGTTTTTTTATTGTCATTCATACCACTGTTATTGCCAGATAGAGGGTTCCGATCATAAAACACAGAGACCATACAGCCATACCATATTGAATTGAAAAATACAAATCAGAATTCTTCAATGTTGACATGACAATGATAAATTAGTCTGGATATTGAGAAACAATAGAAAAACATGTCTTCGTAAGGAAGTGGCAGATTCTTTCCGGTTGTGTATTTTCAAATTCTAGCGCACTCGAGCTGGTTTCTCCAAAATGACCCCACCTTTAAATGATGTTGACAAAGGGTTTGTTTATGAAATTGTGTCAAAAGAAGTCTTAAAGATCTGATTCATGCAACATCTTCAAATCCTCCCTGTTGAAAAGTTTGCTGAAAACATATTTTTGTGTGACCATTAAGCTTTTTGTAAAAGTTTGAAGTGAACTTGTCTTTTATAAAAAAAAGAGAAGAAAATAAGTCTTGTCAGTTGTCTGTGAAAGTGGTTAAAAATGAAGGTATCAACTTACCTTTTCTATATATTCTTTTCATTCTTATCGAAAAAAATGTTACAGCTCTGTTACAGCAGCATTATCAGTTCCTCTGGTTTGACTATTTCTAGGTATGTGTTTGAGAAAAATGCATTTTTATTTTATTTTATTCTATAAACTACTTCCAACATTTCTCTGTGTTGGAATTCAACAGTCACTGGAATGAAAGGGCTGCCCTACATGTAGAGATTGAGATTTAGGAACAATTTGGAGTGGTCACTTCATCCTTTCCAGAGCTGTATATAAATCGGCCACAAACTAAACGTTTATAATTGAGTTGAATCAGTAAATTAAGCAATACAAATTCAAAATCTGCTGCTTGACTTTGTGCTATGTGTTTGTTTATGACATCTCTTCCAGTTGATCATACGAAATATGTCACCACAGACATTCATAACAATTCCTGGACTGTTTATAGACCTGAAAATAATCAGGAGATGAATTGCTAATGTTAGTGTTGCTATTGCTGTTGACTGTTAGTTGCAGCCCATTTAGCAGCATGTATCTGGTGTGATGTTAACTCTGGATTAAGTATGTCTCTTTGTTTCTCTCAGCTGCTGCGACTGCCTGGCCCGTGTATGTCGGAGGAGAAAGGAGCTGAAGGCCAGGACCGTTTGGCTCGGCTGCCCGGAGAAATGTGAAGAGAAGTACCCCAAAAACGGAATAAAAAACCAGAAATACAACATCTTCACCTTCGTGCCTGGGGTACGTTCGATTCCAGAGAACAATTAAAGCATATCCTGTGGGTCACATCACTCCATTTGCTCATGTAGCAGGATTCACATTTCATGCTCTGATCTTCGGTACAAACGTAGACGTTACGGCTGTTTTGAGTCAATGTTCCCACTGTTTTATAATCCCTACTTCATCCAGATGAAATATGTGTATTATGTAAAGCACAGTAGCCTGCACTTGGTCTAATAGTTAACTGTTCTGTCATTAAGGCGAGGGTTTACACTGTAGGGGACATAAGAGATCCATCAGACTTACTTATTAAAAACCAAACGGTTCCATGATTAGGAGGAGCGCCTTTGGCCCAGGCAATAAAATGTCAACTGTCTGTTAGAGACGCAGATATTCTCGTCGATGGCGAACACAACGGCTCTGTTTTTCTCCCTCTGCGATGAATTATTAAACACACACAAATTGAGTTTAGCAGTGAGCATTTTTCCCTAAAGGTCAGGGGGTTCATTAACCGTCGAGAGCCGTGCATTGATCCCGTTGTCTCTGATAATCTGTGACGAGATGCAGGACTCTCATTATTGCAAACATTATTCAAAATGTGACCTTAGATGAATGGGATACCAAGATCCCTGTTGATGGATGGCCCATTAGCAAAGAGCCCGGTAAGTCACAGCCTGGTGGCACTTTGCTCCGCGTGATTTAAGAAAGTTCCTTCTTTATCCATTATTGTGGTGATCAGTCCTGTTTGTCTTGTGCTGTTTTTGTTCTGCAAAGCATAGGCACCAACAGACATCATACCAGAGGAGGAACGAGTACTCAGATCTTATACCTAAGTGAAAGTAGCAATAACAAAATGTAAAAATACTCTGTTAGAAGTAAAAGTCAAGCCTTCATCTTACTTTGATAGAAATACAAAGAGTATTGGTATCAAATACACCTACATTCCGAAAGTAGAAGTACTTGTGTAGTGTAAAAGCTCATTTCAGATCGATATGAATAAAATCAATGGTTTATGATTATTAATTGATCAGAATGAGAATCAGAAGTCCTGTATTTGTCCTTCAGTGGTCATTCCTATGAAAGTTGCTCAGTGGATCATGAAGCCAAACATGGAGCCATTGTTGATTCAAATACATTCTGGATCAACCGGGGTCTTGGGCCCATAGTGTCTCAGCTCAGTAAAATGAATGGATGGAAAAAAACTTTGATTCTGCTTTTAGCGCATTTTACAACTTAAAGAACAAATTATTTGAATACAGGCTATTCACGTGTGTGCACTTGGTGGATCATTGATCTAAACAAATATTTTACGCTGATTTACAGATGTCTCTTGTCAATGGGACTGACACTGTAGTTGTAGTACCAACGTTTGGCCACTACTAACATTTGCTTCAACGCCCGGCGAACTTCCTGGGGGCTTGGTTTTTGGCAACGGCTGTTAAATGTGGAGCTAACTTTTACTACTTTTTATTCTGCTGCTGTTAATTTTAACCTATAAGTCCATGATTATTTCATAATTCATACATGTTTTGTATATCAGCTTTCAATCTGAATTCATAAAGTAACTAGTGATTCAAGCTTTCAGATAAATGGTGTAAAAAGTAGAATATTGGCTTAAAATTAAGTCAAAGTAGGATCAAATGAAAATACTCAGGTAAAATATAAGTACCTGATAATTGGACCTAAGTACTGCACACTACTGCTTTCTCAAAGGTACCATGTCAGGGGAAATGTTCACCCTGAATGCCATGTGTAACAGAAGTTCTCAGAGTGCCACAGTTTCCATCAGGTTAATGTAAAGTTAACAGCATTAACATGTATCCTGTTCCCTCTTGGATCTGGTACAGTAACCCATCTGTTGCGGCGGCATCCTCTTTGTCTTCGCTGGCAGCTGTCATGGTCTCTGACCCGCCTCGCTGACAGGTTCCCTCACCTCTCTGAATCCTCTCCTCTGCTCTCAGGTTCTCTACCAGCAGTTCAAGTTCTTCCTCAATCTCTACTTCCTGGTGGTGGCCTGCTCCCAGTTTGTGCCATCCCTGAAGATTGGATACCTCTACACGTACTGGGCACCGCTGGTAAATGCACTTCAGTTTGATCTCTGCAATTGATTTGTATGAAAAATGTGTTAGTCTCTCATAGAAATGCAATGGAAGCTAGTTGGAGAGTGTTTTTTCTTTTACGGCCTACCCAACACCTGCCTTTTTAGTTTGCCTTTGAATTTAATTGAGTTATTAAGTGTTTTTATTAAACACAGTCATGTGTTGCTCTGTCTATGTGTTGGTATTTTTTAAACATTAGTTTTTTGTAAAACTGGTATCGTTAGTGTATGAAAAGTGCTCTATGCATTATAGGTTGAGTTTCAAGAAGGCCTTTGTGTATATAATTGAATATTAAAATGATTAGTTTATTGAAGAATTGTCAATTGATTTGATGGTAGACAATCATTTCAGTTTTTGACACTTGGACACAGAAATTAATCTGCATTTATATGTATAGTTAGAATAATTGTTATTAACACATTTAAATTCAGATGAATCACCTACTTATGACTTTATAGTCATCTTTTTATCCCATTGAGACAGTTTTAAACTACATTTGTTTCTGTTTCCGTCAAGATGTAATAATGATCAAGCTAAAAAAAGGAAATAATTCTTCATGTAAGAAGCAAAGGCAAACGGCTTGTATTGTTGTGACCTCATTTGTAAATAAACTCTATTATTTTACATAAAAGGACCAATTTCAAAGTTACGGCTGTTCTCAGTTAGTTAATACAGTTGGAAAGGAACCGTTGTTGTGTGTAAAGGTCAGCTTTATGTGTCCCGTTCATCAGCTCTAATATTAACGTAGCTTTCTGAATGATCTTGCTGACTTGAATCTGTTGTGCCCTACCTTCTGTGTCTCAGGGTTTTGTGTTAACCGTGACGATGGTGCGCGAGGCTGTGGACGAAATGCGGCGCTACCGACGGGACAAAGAGATGAACTCTCAACTGTATAGCAAGCTCACAGTGCGAGGTTAGTGAGAGACATCCATCCACTCTCCTCCTCATGACTGTAACTGTTTGCTGACATTATGATAACGGATATTCTCTCCCCGTGCAATTAAAGAGACGGCACTCCACGGGATCTACACTTGTAACAGAAGTCATTCCTCTCGCTGTAATTGCATTGATTTTTCCTTCTCTCACTTTCTCAAGACCGTATGATCTAAGATCTGTCCCTTTGTTGATCGTGTGGTGAAATCCCCCTGTGTGCTATCTGTGACCTGAGGCTGCAGCTCTCACACTCTCCATGTGCTCGTGTGCATGTACGCAGCTAGAAGAAGGGTTTGGAGGATATTGAGGCAATATAATTGAGAGTGACCCTATGTGCCATTGTTTTTGTCTATGCCTCTGACCAGAGATGCAAACAGAGGGGTATTACATTATCCTGTAGGAGGTAACCAATCTGTTAGAAAGTGAGACGGAAAAGTGGGTTGTGGTTTTAAGAGCCTGAAATCAATACCTTCAGTTTATTTCGTAGTTATTCAAATACTCATAGCATGTCTTAAAAAAGAAAGGTATCATTTGAGTGTTTTTTCTTCATTTCATTTGGCTTTTTCCTTAGGTCAAATTCCTGTTAAGAGCTCCGACATACAAGTTGGGGACATGATCATCGTTGAAAAGGTAAATCTCTACTGTTTCCTCTAGATATTTCTGTATGCACGGATTTTAAAGGGGCCTACTATGCTTTTGGGGTTTTCTTTTTGCTGTAGTGTGTTATGTAGGTTTCATGTGTAAATGTCCAGTTCCTCTCCCACACACTTCCCAAAGCCTGAAACTCCTTCATTTGATTCCTTTGTTTACATTTGTTACACAGTGACATCACTATGTAACTCTCACGCTTCTATTGGTTTGCACTACAACACATTGTACATAATTAGCTAAGAGACGGGACCTACTCAAACTAAACAGTGATACAACTGAGCTCATGGTTGTGGCCCCCAAGGCACTGCTCGGGAAGGTTGGAGATCTGCTCCTCAACATCGACGGTTCCATCATCTCCCCATCCCCTCAGATCCGCAACCTTGGTGTTGTCTTGGATTCAACCCTCTCATTTCAAAACCACATCAAATCCGTTTCAAAATCAGCCTTCTTCCACCTCAGAAATATTTCCAGACTCCGGCCATCACTGTCCGACTCTGTTGCTGAGAAGCTGATACATTGTTTCATTACCTCACGCCTGGACTATTGTAACGGACTCCTGTCCGGGGTTCCCAGCAAAACCCTGAACAGGCTCCAGTACATACAGAACTCAGCTGCCAGGGTTCTCACACGCACCAAGCCCTGGGAGCACATCACCCCCACTCTCTTCAACCTCCACTGGCTCCCGGTCAAGTCCTGCATCACCTATAAACTCCTCCTCGTGACCTACAAATCCCTCCATGCCCTCTCCCCTCAGTACCTCACAGATCTCCTCCACCCATACATCCCGTCCCGCACCCTTCAATCCTCAGACTCCGGCCTGCTCTCCATTCCCCATTCACGCCTCCGCACCTTCGGGGGCCGTGCCTTCAGTGTCGCTGCCCCCACCCTCTGGAACTCCCTCCCTGCAGAAATCCGCAACGCCCCTTCTCTCAACATCTTCAAATCAACCCTTAAAACTCATCTGTTCAACATCGCCTTCCAACAATAACTCACTCCCCCCCCCCCCCCCACTTACACTTCCATTTCTGCCCCCTGTTTTATGTTTATGTTTTTATTATGTTTTATGTCTTGTCCTTGTATGTTTCTTTGTAAAGCGACCTTGGGGTTACGAAAGGCGCTATATCAATTCAAGTTATTATTATTATGTCTTTGTGGTTGACCAATCATAGCCGGCCAGCTAACCAATCAGAGCAGACTGGGCTCTGGGTTTATATTACATTGCATTTAGCTGACGTTTTTATCCAAAGCGACTTACAATAAGTTTAGCCTTTGCAGACGATTTACATGCAGGAAAAGCTATATAACACACTAAAGGAAAGGGAAATCCCTTAATAACTTAACAGAGTTTAAAGCACAGTGTTGATTTCAGTTGAGTTGTGCTTCATTGTGAATTGAAACTTACAATGTGCTTTTGGTACTATTTGAAACTCCCACCCACCTGTTAAGCCTGTGATCTTCAGTTTCAGCCAACATGAAATCCAGCTGCTTCTATTAAGTACAATTTCCATTAGACTGACTTTAAAAAAACGCTTTCTCCTTCACCCAAGGTATTGACCTTGTTTAATTATTCAGGAAGATTCTGCCTTAGTGCTCAGTAACACTCCACGATTAAAAGGCTTTTTATCTTCCTTTTTGCAGAACCAAAGGATTCCTGCAGACATGATATTCCTGAGAACATCGGAGAAAAACGGTGAGTGTAAAGGGCTGAAACAAGGACTCCTCCCAAATGAATGACGCTCTTTAAATCAAATTACATTCATAAATCATCGCAGTAAATGAAACATAAATACAAATATACAATTAACAGACAGAATAAACGTAGCACTTTGACGAAAAAGTGTCAAGATGATTTGGGTGCGAATGTGACTTCACACACCACCAGTCCTGTGGCATCATCTCCGAGGCAGCTCGTGGTTCATATGATTTATGTCACATTCTTCCAGTGAGTGATGATGCGAATTCCAATGAATCAATAAGCTGCGTCAGATTCTCGCTCCTTCCTGAGGGGCATCGGCAGGAAATGTTCTGAGGACATCATTTCCATCAATCTTTGATGTGCCAATATGCTTGGCAGGGAGTTGTTGATGTCTTTAAAAAACACACTCTTACATAAACACATCTTTATATTTCGCATGCTTGTACACACACACACACGTGAGTGATGCTTTAGTGCCGGTTCAGCAGAAGCAAAGCATGAATCCTCCTCCTTAATGTCCTCCATCATAGTGATCCCCCCAGGGATGGTTTATAGCTGCCCTTTACCCCCTCTGTCAAATAGTTGCTCTCATCCATCAGTTTCATATGTAATATTACCTCAGATCAATACAGGTCACGACTGCTCAACGTTTATCGGACCCTGCGGTGTCCGTAGCAGCCACACTTGCTCTGGATCTGCTACAGGCTGCGATGTACCATGCAGTTTGTGATTGATATATGCTATGTTATTACAAATAATACCATGTTTTTACTTAACAAGGACCATGCATAACAATACAACCATCTCCGAAAAGAGAAGATATGATTTCTGCTGATTTAGTTATTAGTTCATTTCCATCTGAGACCTTGAGCAGGTACACACACAATCAAGTAGTCTATATCACACTAACAATGATAAGAATCAGATCAACATATAATTACCAGCACAAATATTACTACAAATATATTATATTAATTCATTTGAACTAAACACAAATTAAGGTCAAGTTGGTTCATTTATTTTAAATGTAAAGACTTTAAGCATGTGTTTTAAATGTTTGTACACTGAACAAAAATATAAATGCAACACTTTTGTTTTTGCTCCCATTTTGCATGAGATGAACTCAAAGATCTAAAACATTTTCTATATACACAAAATAACCATTTCTCTCAAATATTGTTCACAAATCTGAAAAAATCTGTGATAGTGAGCACTTCTCCTTTGCCGAGATAATCCGTCCCACCTCACAGGTGTGGCATATCAAGATGCTGATTAGACAGCATGATTATTGCACAGGTGTGCCTTAGGCTGGCCACAATAAAAGGCCACTCTGAAACGTGCAGTTTTGCTTTATTAGGGGGGTCTGGGGGGGTCCGAAAACCAGTCAGTATCTGGTGTGACCACCATTTGCCTCACGCAGTGCAACACATCTCCTTCGCATAGAGTTGATCAGGTTGTTGATTGTGGCCTGTGGAATGTTGGTCCACTCCTCTTCAATGGCTGTGCCAAGCTGCTGGATATTGGCAGGAACTGGAACACGCTGTCGTATACGCCGATCCAGAGCATCCCAAACATGCTCAATGGGTGACATGTCCGGTGAGTATGCTGGCCATGCAAGAACTAGGATGTTTTCAGCCTCCAGGAATTGTGTACAGATCCTTGCAACATGGGGCCGTGCATTATCATGCTGCAACATGAGGTGATGGTCGTGGATGAATGGCACAACAATGGGCCTCAGGATCTCGTCACGGTATCTCTGTGCATTCACAATGCCATCAATAAAATGCACCTGTGTTCGTCGTCCATAACATACGCCTGCCCATACCATAACCCCACCACCACCATGGGCCACTCGATTCACAACATTGACATCAGAAAACCGCTCACCCACACGACGCCACACACGCTGTCTGCCATCTGCCCTGAACAGTGAAAACCGGGATTCATCCGTGAAGAGAACACCTCTCCAACGTGCCAGACGCCATCGAATGTGAGCATTTGCCCACTCAAGTCGGTTACGATGACGAACCGGAGTCAGGTCGAGACCCCGATGAGGACGACGAGCATGCAGATGAGCTTCCCTGAGACGGTTTCTGACAGTTTGTGCAGAAATTCTTTGGTTATGCAAACCGATTGTTGCAGCAGCTGTCCGAGTGGCTGGTCTCAGACGATCTTGGAGGTGAACATGCTGGATGTGGAGGTCCTGGGCTGGTGTGGTTACACGTGGTCTGCGATTGTGAGGCCGAGAAATGAACATTCAATTCACGGGCAACAGCTCTGGTGCACATTCCTGCTGTCAGCATGCCAATTGCACGCTCCCTCAAAACTTGCGACATCTGTGGCATTGTGCTGTGTGATAAAACTGAACATTTCAGAGTGGCCTTTTATTGTGGCCAGCCTAAGGCACACCTGTGCAATAATCATGCTGTCTAATCAGCATCTTGATATACCACACCTGTGAGGTGGGATGGATTATCTCGGCAAAGGAGAAGTGCTCACTATCACAGATTTTTTCAGATTTGTGAACAATATTTGAGAGAAATGGTTATTTTGTGTATATAGAAAATGTTTTAGATCTTTGAGTTCATCTCATGAAAAATGGGAGCAAAAACAAAAGTGTTGCATTTATATTTTTGTTCAGTGTATATACGATTTCTGACAAAGATGTCTAATGATTTGTCTAGATTTGTTTTTTTTACTTTATTATTAGAAAATGTTCAGAAATGTAGTTAAACTAAGGCCTACTGGGCACATGACAATAAGTATTGTATGCTGTAATAAACCTCCTCAGCAGCACAATCTCTTAGCAAATGGATACAAAATATGCTGAATTTTAATTTAATATGTTTTAAATCATACTAAATTATCTGTGTGAAATTGTGAAACAGCCATAAAAAACCACATTTATTTTGCAGTCATTACAAATGTAACACCCTTGAGGAATTTTCTGATTCTGCCTAACTGGCACGACCATGAGCTTATAGAGTCTAATATTATCAAACTTTAGATCGATTACTCACTAACATTACCAAATCAGTTCACAGGCTTAATGACTTTTCACTTCTTTAGCTACAATTAGGCTTTGTTTTAGCATTTACCCTTACTCTGCACAGAGATAGAAAATGCACTCAGATCCTTTACTTGAGTAAAAGTAAAAATACTACGTTCTAAAAATACTGGGACTACTTCATACTCGGCTATTATTAAGCTCAAAACAGATCGAAAACAGGGACTCTAAAAAGTGAAGCACACATCTGGGACCGAAGCAGCTGTTGACGTTCAGGGATTATAAAGTTGGCCAACTGCCACTCTCGCTGACCCTAGCCTGTTTCATAATTGCAATTATTCCGTCAGTATATTTGAAATGACTAGGTTAGCTACATGAGCTAGCTAGCTTACAGCAGGTCCCCACTACTATTAGAAGAATCATGAGATCACATTGTTATAATAACACAATGAAATTTACATTTCCAGTGACGGTGATAGTTTCCGAACTTCAAAATCCCCAACCGTCAACAAATGCTCCGGTCCTGGCTGTCTGCCAGTGTATTGTATTCACTGCCTTTCACTCTCTGTCTTTAACGGCTCGTTGTAGCTCCAATAGCTCCAGCCCCCACCCTCCCTGTGAGCACAGTGTGCTCTGATTGGTCGGGACACGTAACATGAACGTGCCGGGCGGCGCGGTCCCGTGGGTTAGATGCGCGTTCATAATGCAGAGGGAAATAACTCTCAGAATAACGTTATTAGCACATTATTACAACTTGAGGAACGAATGTTTTTAATAAGGGCAAAACAAGTGTTCATACTGGGTAGTTTATTTAGTTTAAAAAAAAGTATCCAACGATTTACAGACCACTCTTTCCCCATGTAAGTCAATGGGAACAAGTGTTTCTGAGCCTGGCAACCAAACGGAAGTGTAGTACCGCCGTTTGGCCAGCACGAATATTTTCATCTGAGTCCGGCGCACTTCCTGGGGGCTTGGGTGTAGGTGTCACTGTCACTACCCGATCTGCAGCTCTGCCCGATCTGCAGTGCGCATGTGCGAGATGGTCCGCCATATTGGACAACTCCGTACGGCAACCCAATAAGGACACTTCACACAGTGGCTTTTGGCAAAGCTCTAAAAGAAAACTCGAGAGGGATGAGTTATTGTTATTACAACGTGACTTCAGTATTATTTAACAACTCTTTTTATTGGGTTCTTTTATTTGCGGTTAAGTACATTGTCAGAATAAGTGAGAAAAGAATTTAACTTCTGTTAGACAGCTATCATACTGAATACATATTTACTGTGAATGTATGCAAAAATTAGGGCCGGGACTCGATTAAAAAAATTAATCTAATTAATTAGCGGCTTTGTAATTAATTAATCGAAATTAATCGCATTTTTAATCACATATAAATATTTGACCTGAGAACAGTGAGAAGCAATTTTTTTCACATGGATTTTAGTATACCATTAGGTGCATTCACACCGCAGTACTTTTCCCACAAAGGTTCATGAGAATTTAGTTCATGAGAACTCTTTGAATTTGGGGGTGGATTAGGCAAATGAAGCCGCTGACGTCACTTCTTCTTCTTCTGCTTTGGGTTTACTGGCAGGCCGCAAACCACTTCACGGCGTATACTGCCGCCCAAAGTCCCGCCGAAGTCCCCGGAGTTGGGGACTGGCTTCAGTAGAAGCTGCTGGGAGTCCCAGCAGCCTTCCGAGTAAATCGCCAGAACGCCGACACCTCCTCATCTCCACCGCTCCCATGTTTTATTTTGTGTTGCCATAAATTAGTCTCTCTGCGTTTCTGCGCTGGGCTAATGCTAATAATGCTAATGCGAGGATAATAAAATTCACAAAACTTTTTGGGAGTTTTACGGGGCGTGGTTTGCAATCCGCCCAGCCAATCAGAAATATAGCTCTTTTCTCACAAGAGAGCCGTACGAAAGTCCCTGCTCTCTAGCAGCTCTCTGCTCTCTAGCAGGGACTTTCGTGGGGGTAAAAAGGTTCTCATGAACTAATTTTAGTACCGGCTCTTTTTGGTGTGAACGCGATAAAAGAGGCTAACGTCCACGCTAGCTTCCACGCTAGCTGCTATATGTTTTGCATTGAGGTGATACTTGAGGCTTGATGTGCTGCGGTGATATGCGAATTCCTTTTTGCATAATTTGCACACAACCGTGCTCTTATCGACGCTTCCATCCGTCCGTTTTTTAAAACAACATATTGTTCACTGTGGTTTGTTGTTGTCTGAAGTCATGAACGTTAGTTGGTGCTCCAGTATAATCGGTACGCCTGAAACTCATCCAGTGAGAAAAGTTCCGCGGTGCAAAAATAAGTGCGATTAAAATGCGTTAATTTTTGTGTAATTAATTAATCTTAATTAACGCGTTAAAGTCCCGGCCCTAGCAAAAAAATGTATGGCATATTTGTCTAACAGAAGTTAAATCCATTTCTCACTTATTCTGACAATTTACTTAAACCCAAATAAAAGAACCCAATGAAAAGAGTTGTTAAATAATAGTGAAGTCACGTTGTAATAACAATAACTCATCCCTCTCGAGTTTTCTTTTTGAGCTTTGCCAAAAGCCATTGTGTCAAGTGTCCTTCTTGGGTTGCCGTACGGAGTTGTCCAATATGGCGGACCATCTCGCACATGCGCACTGCAGATCGGGCAGAGCTGCAGATCGGGTAGTGACAGTCACTACCCGATCCGTCCCCCTTCAATATTTAAAAATAAATCTTCCCGGGGGAGCTTGCCCCCGGACCCCCCTATGTGAGGTCCACACACCACCTATAAAAATAGCACTTTACCCCTGCTTACACCTATATGCCGTGAGCTGATTATCGAGCCTTCATTGTAACAGTCGCGGGTACATTGTGAATATGCATGGGGATTGTTGCAGTAGAAAATTCCACTGTAGCGACCGGTACATTAATGGGAAACCCTAAATGTTTGAGCACCCTCTATGAAACGTCAAGTTACCCCACAGCACCCCAAAATAAATCTCTGGCGCCGCCACTGAGCCTGACTTGTGTTGGGGGGGGCCCGACTTTTTTTTTCTCCAAAGGGGGGGGGGGCCTGACAGAAAAAGTTTGAGAACCACTGTCCTAGCGTGTGAAAATGTTTGTGACAAACGTGTGCAAAGTCTCCGAAAACGGAGCAGTGGCTGTGATGCTAGCTGTGCGGCTAGCGGTTAGTTGTTATTGTTTGAAGTTGTTGCTATGGAAACAACATGACGGAGAAAAAGTATAATCTTCTACATATAATAACGGACAAAGTAAAGAATGAAGTGTCGGCTATGTTTAAATGTTCGTAATTTGACCGTGATGGCCCTCTTGAGTTGCCTTACAATATGACGGATATGACAGATGACGGATGCGACGGAAATACACCCGAACACATCTGGTACCCCGAACACATCTGGTACCGACACCGGGCAGAGTTTTTCGCCGTCAACGTGTATTAAAGTTTAAATCTTCCGGACAAAATTATAAAAGTGCCGGTCAAAGGTCTTCTTTGTTATTTATTGAGCTTTAAAACAAATGAATAACAATTCTATATAATATAATAATAAAATACACGGAGCCTCTCTTTTTCCTCCCTCTCTTCGGACAGCGTCAGTGTCTGTCTCATGCAGCAGCTGATCCAGTAATGAGTGACCCGGCCGACAGTAAAAATAAACATATCTATAACTAGTTTAGGTAGTTTGAGAGGTAATTAAAATAGCTAAGGGTGATGATCTGACTAAAGTGTGTGATTTGCTCCGTTCACCGCTGCATCACAGCGGGAGGAGCTGCAGGTGAGCAGAGCTGCGTGTCTCCGTCCTGTCAGATTAGACTTCACTCGCGTTTAGGTCCATATCGAGAGAAAGATAAATAATCTGAATTCAGTGTGCAGTTTACTTTGACGCGGGGGTGAGCAGCAGAGGTGGGGAGAGGCGGGGCTATTGCCTCATCATTATCAGAAAATGATCGTATAGGGCAGTGCTTCTCAAAGTGTGGTCCGCGGACCACTGGTGGTCCGTGAGCGCCCCCTAGTGGTCCGTGAGTATATTGGTAAAATTTCACATTTGAAATAAATAAATAAATTTAAGTTTTCCGCACTCTCGCGGGAATATTTCCGCAATGGAGCGAGCTTAAGTTTCACTTTAAATTGCATGATATAGCCCAGCGCAACACCTTCATCACACATGTGGCCACTTGTTTGTACCATTTTCAGGCGATTTGTAAAAAACAATCTGTTTTTGGATATTTGTGGAGTTAGGTGGTCCGCGAGTATTTTTTTATTGGTTAAGTGGTCCTTGGTATGAAAAAGTTTGAGAAACACTGGTATAGGGCTATGTACACACAGAGCCGTTGGACCCCCCCAGAGCGTTGCGCAGGGGCGGACTGGGACTAAAATTCAGCCCTGGAAACTGACCCAGTCCGGCCACATGAAATGTCAAATGTTAGAAATCCGCTGTTTATTATTTAAAGTTTTACGTCCGATTCGCTCCTTTTTTCCTCTCTGTACACAGCTCCAGTTTGGCCATTGGCCTGTCATCAGATTTCATTTTTAGTTGCTGCTGTAGCGGAAGATTAGTACAATTATTTTTGATGACATACTCCAAATCTCCACCCTCCATAATTGCACTTGCTTCAGTTGCTTGCTACTTTTTGAGGGCGGTGATGACAGTTACAGTACGAACTGAAGTTGATGCGATTTGATTGGATTGTGAGGCATGACGTGAGCCTCATCTGATTGGTCAATCCCTCCATTTTTTTTCACCAAGGGAAGCCAATTTCGGCTAGCCTCCTCTCGCAACAGACAGTGCAATCTACTGTTTCACCATAACATCTAGAGGGGCGCTGTTTCACTCTTTGTAAAATACTCAATGAGAATGGGGGAGAGACGGGCCGGCAGAATAATTACCGAAACTAAACAAAGTGTTTTTATTTATTTATTAAAATTATAACTATAATCCAAAAAAACAGGCGAAGCCTGGCTTCCCTTGGCCTCCAGGAGAAAGCACCACTGAGTTCAAGGGATAATTCTCACCCACCTCTTGCCCTGCACTTGTATGTGCCAGACAGTTGAGCTGGTTCTTCCACCAGCTCAACTCTGTCCCTCATCATGAACGCAGGAGGCTGGCTGTATATCTGAACTCGCGCCCTCATCCTTCTCTTCATCATCTTGCACTTGTTCTAAGCTGCTGCTGGTAGTGCTTGTAGCAGCGCTGCTGCCAAAAAGGTCAAAGGCCAAAATGTATATGCTTCACCTACGAGTGACTTCACCTTTTTTTCTATTGCCTTCTCGGCCCCACCTTTTCTTTTCGTTTTCTTTGATTTGTATCCATGTTTTTTCATTCTCCCTGTCTGCCGCGGCGTCTAATCCCTTCTCTTCGTGTGGCCGGTCTTTTTTCTTCTTCGCGTGTGATTATTTGACAGATAAGGCAAGGCAAGGCAAGGCAAGTTTATTTATATAGCACTTTTCAACACAAGGCAATTCAAAGTGCTTTACAAAAAATGAAAGAGATTAAGAAAATGGCATTTAAAATCAGTCATTAAAAAGAAAAGCTAATAAAATAAACATTAAAAGATAAGAACCACACAACTGCATTAGTGGCCGCTGTCGCCCTCTGTCGGCCGTCAGCGCAACTTAAATGATGACGTTAAACTATTTATTTTAAAAGGGCCGGCCGGCCGTCAACGGCCCTTGTCGACCGGCCGTTCTGTAGTTCTCCAGATTCTCCAGATGGCCAGTCCGCCCCTGGCGTTGCGTATGCCGTTCTATCCACCTTGGGACCCGTTATCGTTTCCGCAGTCGTTTAGTGCCGTATTCGGTCGTCCTCGTGTGGCCGAACAGTCTATATGACACTAAACAGTAACGCAAACACCGTTTTCGTCCTCGTGTGGCCGGGGCCTTACAGTATTTATAGAATTTCTGTCCTGCATTTTCCAGGTTCCTGTTTCATCAGAACAGATCAGCTGGACGGAGAAACGGACTGGAAGCTGAAGGTCGCCGTGTGCTGCACGCAGCGGCTCCCAGCAGTGGGGGTGAGGATACATTACGATGTAGTGAATCTCTGGTAACAGACAAACGGATTGAGCACGAGTGAATGAGTGTTGTGTTATCACTAAAAGCATTGCTCCTCAGATGAAGTTGTGATGGAAACCTAATCACTGATGACGGACAGCGGGAACATTGTGAACCTGACGGCCGCTTCCTTTAACTGCAGATACTCAACACTTAAGATTTCAGCTCAGACGATTGTTGCCACTTAGTGTGATCAGAGAATTAAAGTTGCAGCAAGTCATTCGATGATTGAGCCGTGGCATCCATATTAGGTTTCAAGAGACGAGAAGATAACAAGCGTTGTCCTCACTTAAGCCTATAGACAACCTTCTTTTTACATTGGTTATTGAAACAATTAGTTTTAGCCTATAATACTAACTCTTTGTGTAGTAAAACAGATCAATATGGTGCTATTTTGTGATTGCTCTCACACAGAAAGTGATTCTTAATTTATTTATGTTAAGAAGTTAGCACACAGAGAACTGTCATCTCAGATTATTACTGAAAGATTTTTTTCCTAAATACTATTGGATATGTCAATATTACTTTGAACTAAAGCAAGGTTGTCAATTTATGATAAAAACAATGATATTTAATTTAATTTTGTTGGGCTAAGTTTCAAAGCCACGAACATCTTGAGAGTACTGCCAACATTAAGAATTAAGAAGTGGTGGGAAAAAAGTATATGTAACACATAACACTTCTCATTACTTATGTAATAAAATAACAACAAGTGTCAAATTTAAGTAATGGAGTAAATAGTACAATCGCTCATAGATGTAACGGAAAATTATAATACTTAAGTAAAGTTTAAATACCTCACAGTTCAACTTTAATATAGTACTTGAGTAAATGTACTTAGTTACATTCCACCACTGGCCTTAAGTGTTATTATACCCCTGTGTCAGCTCTAAATGACTAAATAAGTCCTGTTTGTTCAGCAGCCACATTGATCTCTGAGTCTCTGAGCTTTTCTCTGTGAAGTGCTGGAGCAACACTACTCTCCGTTGGGGCCTCAGTAAAATAATCTTCCCTGCTCCTCTCTAACCGCTCTGCCGTGTTCAGCAGGAGAACACTATCTGAGCACACCGCTGCAGAGGCTGCCTGCCTGAATTATTTAATATTGACAATCAATTTTGTTCCACTTGAGGCTAAAAAAGAGGCGGTGTTAGGTGCTACACAGGCCAAAGGCTGCAGTCACATTTTTTAGGATGATTTAAAGGAACAGTTTATCAAACACTTATGATTAAGTGTTTATGATTGTCTTTCTTCAGGTTATTTTTCTATTCTTTTAACTGCTTCAACATGCTTATATCATTAAGTTTGGTTGAATCCAAATATTAAAACCCATAATAATGATTAAAATAAGAAAACAATATATATGTATATTTCCAAGACTAGGATTGGATTTTCAATGCTCGAGTAGGTTTCTATCTTCATAGGATTTGAACAGACACTGAACTTATTTAATTACAATTATTATAACATTAAAGCGTATTACTTTTTAAAACATTTGTTTATATTCATATTTATTTATTATATAAATGCTCTAATGTTCAAAAAGGTCTTTATTTTTCTCATACTGCCTAGCTGGCCTGCTCTGTTGTGATTGGTCAACCGCTTAAAGATGTCCCGTCCCTTAGCCTATCACATACACTGTGTCGGAGCGCTAGCTAATACAAGCACAAGTGTTGCGTAGTGATGTCATTATGATACAGAAGTAAACAAAGGAGTGCCAATGCAGGCGTTTCAGGTGTGTGTGGGGGGGGGGGCTAGGGGGGGAATGTGTGGGAGAGAAACTCCCTCTGGAGGGAACACAGGGATTGTAGTCTTTGCAGACCATTTACATGCACACAAACCTATAGAACACACTACAGGAAAACCCCAAAAGTATAGTAGGGCTCTTTAATTAAGACTATACGACTGTGCTTGAGTTTTATTTTGATAAATGAATACTAAATCCTTTCCCTCCTTGTCTCAGGATCTCTTCTCCATCAGCGCCTATGTCTACGCCCAGAAGCCTCAGCTGGACATCCACAGCTTCGAGGGGAACTTCACAAGGGTACAGTACCTCGTTGACATTTTTATAACCTGTTAAACACATGCAGAGTTTTTCCTATAGAAAGTGGATTGACATGGAAGATGTGTATCACTGCAGTGTGTTGACAAGCGGCAACAATGAGAGCTTGTGTGTCCATCTGGGCCCCGTTGTTATCTCCAGCAGGCGTACCTCTTACATCACAGACAGCTTCTCGCCGCTCCAGCTCCATCCATCCTGCTTGTTGCTCAGTGATATTCTTTTTTTCTTCTGCTTTTTTTTTTTTATTAATAGCAGATTAGCGCAGCCCCCACAGAGAGGAGAGCTCCGGTACAAAGGCAGGCTTTGTGGCCCGTCTTCACTCTTGGCCACACACCAGGCTTAGTGAGGGAGCACTTCCTCCGCTCATTCATCCTCCGCGGCCTTCCTTTGCATAGCGTGTGCTTTTAGTCCTGGCAGGATGGGAAAAAAATGGGTTCCCACAGATCCGCACTAAATGAACTTACCTATTTATGAGGGGTTTTCCTTTTTTTTCTCTCCTCGAGACGGATATGGTGGCTTTGTTTCTGCTGTCTTTTATTGAGACCCTGTGCAGTTATGAACACCAATGTCAGGGCGGTCAAGCACTCTGCAACCTGCCATTTATTTTTCATGCGCCTCTTCCCATGTTCGAGTGGGATTGACAGGATGTGGGTGCTTAGGTATCATAATTATCATATCAGGCAGGCAATTTGAGCCGAAACTGGAGCCTTGACTCTGCACTCCTGACTCAAGCCATTTTCGTCTTTATTTAAGAGAGAAGGGTAAAAGCGGGGAGGGGGAGGGTGAAACAAGAGGCTCTCTAGGGGCTTATTTATCACTGAAATCTCATCTACGTGCACTCTCTATACTGTTTTAAAAAGCAGCCTCTATCGCCATGCCAAATCTAGTGAAAGTATTGATAAAGGGACCACTGTATTGCCTCGGTCTGCACTACTGTGTCAGGTGCTTGTGGAAATTAATGGCACAGCAGAGCCGGTCCTTCTGCTCACGATGTATGCACTCTCACTGAGCTTGTTTTGCTCAAATCGGTACAGCTGACATGTTTTTCTTTCAGGATAGTTTTGTTTGCCTCGATTAAGTGATTTGCCAAATCATTTAATAAAATATTTTTATTGCGCAAATTTCAGCTTAATGCGAAATATATATATACACATTTAACTATGTTGGTCATCCACCTAAACACATACATCTAGCTAGTTGTGAAGAAAATGTAAGCCAATAAATGAAAGAGTTAAATTCAAACAAAACATTTTCTTTATTAAAACAATTGATCTGTCTAAAAGCAAAATTCATGGCTCTATTGTCTTGGTTTTGTTTTTCTTTTCTGCCGCAGGGCAACATTGAATGCTAACTAGAAATTGGCTAATTGCAGAAATAATTTCAAAAGGGTTTTATTAAGGGACTTAGAGTTTTTTACAGTTAAAAACTACACAAACACGTTTTTGAACTACACTTCCTATACATCATTGTTTGTTAGGAGGTTAAACGGCATACAGTGCCCATACAGTCTCACAGCTACCTGCTGTAAAATACAGCCTTGCAGTATTCTTTCAAGCTTAAACAAAAATACACATAATTATAACACATTTATTTCCTTCTTATTTTTCCTGCAGGAAGACGCTGACCCTCAGATCCACGAGAGTCTGAGCATTGAAAACACTCTGTGGGCCAGCACAGTCGTCGCATCTGGTGAGTAAATGACCACTTTTTATTTGAGTCTGTTTTGATCTTGTGATGAGATACTGTATAATACTTTTCTACATGATGCATTGCAGACACAGTGTATTGGTCACCAGGAACACTGTAACATTTCTGACTGTGTTCATGTTGAGTGTTATGTATGGAGTTCTGCCCATTGAAACTCTACTATTGGTAGTCTAATTTGAAAACATTAGACTTCATTAAAATACTGTATCCCTGAATTTAAAAGTATGTTTTGATAAGCCTGTTGTTGTGAGCAATTCTCGTTTATACATTTAAAAAAAACCTGTAAGAAATGGAGATGGTGCTTGTGGGAGTAGCCAGTCTTCGGATTGTCTGTGTATGTGGGCTACGTTATTTTCTGTATATTTGTGAAAACACGCTGCTTTACCTAAAGGGGTTCTTTCAAATATATTGTGTATAACACAGCTGGATAAACTTGGATCACAAGGGACACATTTATATTCCCACTAATGTATTTAAACCCTATGCAACAGTTTTATTCAACAGCAAAAAAATGAACAAATACCAATCCCCGCTTCATGGCTCTACACCTTGAAGGCTTTGTTACTGCTATGCTCTTGTTTGAAGAACTCTGAGAATGCCCACAGTTGAGGTAATCCTCCCTCGCTCCAACTTAGCCATTCCCCACAGAAACGCTCGTGTCAGTTGAGAGTGTTTGTGACGCTCGCGGCGACGGCCACACCATTGATCTGCGGTGTTGCTCTCCCCTCTGGCCTGACCTTGACCAGAAGAACAAACACACCACACACACACACACACACACACACACGCAGAAAAAGCCTGACTTTGACCCCCTTACATCATCTCTGCTCAGGAATGTCATTCTCCCTCACAAGCCTCTCTTTGACGGACACTTCCTTTGCCTCTAGTGGCATTCTGGGCACTTGAATACCCCTTTTCCACTGAAATCAGTTTAGTTCTAGTTCCATGCTGGTGCTTGTTTAGTTCTCAATTAGTTCTAAGAGAGAACGTGTTTCGCTTTCCATCTCCAAGATCCCAAATGGTGCAACGTCATGACGTCACTGTTTTTTCGGCAACAGGCGCTGGAAAGTAATAACTCACTGTCACACAAGCAACGTCCCCTGATGCACATTTCCCATCCGCATAAGTGAATGTTTTTTTCATTTGAATTCACACTGTTTTGGATCATTATGCCGTTATTAAAGTATCCCTGGTATTCGATGTGGGATGTGAGCATAGCCACGGAAGCTAATCTGACTATCATAGCATATTTTAACTGCATATTTTTCATTAAGAATTGTCTTGCCTGTTGTATTGATTACACCCGATAGATGCTATAACAAAAAAAACTGGAAAACGTATGCCCTTCCGATCTGGCCCTGGAACGGCTTTGGTGAAAACGGGGTAGAAGTGGCCCCAGGATCAGCGTGCATTCCCTCCAATGCAGGCCCCAAGTCCAGCTGTGACAAGATAATTAGTCGTTCACATATTCAAATTGAAGCCCCTCTGCATGCTGAGTCACAAACCATTTGTCACATATTTCTGAAACTCATCAATTCATCACCTTTCTTCTCCAATCCTCTTTTTCTTCTCTTCACTTTCCTTGTTCTGTTTTCTGCCCAATTTTTACTTTCTTGGCATTTTTATAGTTTGGGGATTTCAGGCTTTGCGCCCCCATTAAGCTCATTTAATATTAATGACTCATTAATCCTCCGTAATAAGGCCACCGTAATGAATTGCCAAATAAAGATGGCAGAGTATTGATCAGCTTTTATGAGCTTCCATAGGGTGGCCGAGGCCCTCAGAGTCTAAGCGTATTAAACTCCTGTCTGTGGCAATGAGACAACTGCCTAGGCTCAGCCTTATTGTGTTTTCTCTCGTGTGTGTGTGTGTGTGTGTGTGTGTGTGTGTGTGTGTGTGTGTGTGTGTGTGTGTGTGTGTGTGTGTGTGTGTGTGTGTGTGTGTGTGTGTGTGTGTGTGTGTGTGTGTGTGTGTGTGTGTGTGTGTGTGTGTGTGTGTGTGTGTGTGTGTGTGTGTGTGTGTGTGTGTGTGTGTGTGTGTGTGTGTGTGTGTGTGTGTGTGTGTGTGTGTGTGTGTGTGTGTGTGTGTGTGTGTGTGTGTGTGTGTGTGTGTGTGTGTGTGTGTGTGTGTGTGTGTGTGTGTGTGTGTGTGTGTGTGTGTGTGTGTGTGTGTGTGTGTGTGTGTGTGTGTGTGTGTGTGTGTGTGTGTGTGTGTGTGTGTGTGTGTGTGTGTGTGTGTGTGTGTGTGTGTGTGTGTGTGTGTGTGTGTGTGTGTGTGTGTGTGTGTGTGTGTGTGTGTGTGTGTGTGTGTGTGTGTGTGTGTGTGTGTGTGTGTGTGTGTGTGTGTGTGTGTTGCCGTTAATGAGCAGCATTACTTTCCTTGTCTCTCTCCTTGGCAGGCACGGTGATAGGGGTGGTGATCTACACAGGCAAAGAGACCAGAAGCGTACTGAACACATCCTCTGCCAAGAACAAGGTGAATACTTTTTCTGTTTCTGCAAGAACAAACGGCAAGTTATGGGATTTGTTTTTGGTCGCGAATGCCTTAATTAAAAAAAAAAATTCATGTTATTAGAAGGATAAAACGTCATGATGCTATATATGATCATTTTCTTATATGTGCCAACTAATTTCTTGACTTATCGATTCATATGATTGAAGTGTATAAAATAATTCAATTAAAAAAAACTTCCAAATTTACTTAAGCCAAATATGACACCTGAATGTTTACTTTCACATATGATGAAAAAAGCAACAAATCGTCAGATTTTGAGTCTGGAATTAGGAAATATTTGTTATTAAAACTAAATGCTCTTCTTAGTATATGTTTTACTTTCTGCATAGGATGTAACGATTTTCTTGGGAACAAAAATAATTAGGGATATCTTGGTTTGACATCCTTGCAAACCAGATACACTTAATTTTGTTTCTTGCAATTCATAAATAATAAAGAAAAACAAGATTTTCATTCTAAAAACTACACTGTAGCTACGGTGCATATGACAATAAAGCCCTTCAATCTTTTAATCGTATGCCAGTATAAACATAAATGTTTAGAAAAAGCTGCAGAGGGTGAAACACACAAAGTAACATCTGCTCCAAGTCCCCCTCCATGCCATCGTTCTTCCCCCTGCCTCTAATCATTAATCAATCACTGTAGCGAGGTGCTTTTTTAACCTTGACTTTCTAGATAAAGTTGGACCTGTCAATGCAAAAGGTCAACGCCGGTTGCTAATTAACCAAAAGGGAAATTAACTAACCGAGGATTTAAATGACATTTGCAGCAGAAAGTTAATCCCGCAGAATCCCCATTGAGTGTTTTGTCCTCAGATTGAGGAGGTGAATGGAAATCTGATTCTAAATATAAGACTTTACTTGGAAGATAGGGGAGCTAGATAGACACGGGTCAACTGATAGAGGTGGTGGTTTTGCTACATTACTTTTACACACAAAGTTACAATTGTCTGCACCACTAAAGCTCTACGTGGCACAACACAACCCTTTACTACTGCGGCACAGTTTGGACACCAGTGTCTTTTATTAGGAACGCTGATGTGGCCGGTCGAACTGAGCGTGGGGGGGCCTCTGTTTTGTGTAAGCTCGACAGTTGAGAGGAATTCAATATTTCAAGGAGATGATGTCAGAAGTGCCAATATGGAGACTGGAGATTGGGGGAGAAAGTCGATACAGTGTGGCTAAAGTCGCAAGAACGTTTTGGCCTCATATAATCTGTTGTGACAGCGGCTGGGGACAATGCCTGCACTTGATCAATCTGACAGCACGTCAGACATAGATTCACTCTTTGTCTCGGTATTGTTAGACAGACCTCTGTCCGAGTAAAGAGGCAGAACAATGTCATTGACAAGAGGCTGTTGCTCAATACAGATTGTTAGTTTGAAGTACATATCCAGCTCTCAATACTCTAATACTCTTCACATGTCTATCAAACTCTTGGAAAAAGTAGTTTACTAAGACCTCAAGAATCAATTTCACTTTAGTTTTCCTTGATTCACCGGATCAGCACCTCAAAACCTGAGGCCATGGCTCTCAGCAGGAAACCAATGGACTGTCCACTCAGAGTAGGGAATGAATCCTTACCCCAAGTGAAGCAGTTCAAGTATCTCTGGGTGTTGTTCTTGAGTGAGGGGTCAATGGAGCGTGAGATGGGCCTGAGAATCAAACACAAGCCGCTCTCATCAATGCCACAAGCGCGCAACAAGACACCGTGCCACCGGAGCGGAGCTTCAGGACTTTATATCGCGAGGAAAAATAATACTTGTAGTTCGTATTTGGGGCCTTACACAAGCTGCCTTTTGCTCAAATCCACTGTTGTCGTTGTACATGCCCCTTTGCTCAGTGCGACCTGGCTGCTACGGCTGTGCCCAGAGTAAAAAGTAGTTAAACCTTTCTCCGAACATTTTTCTTCTAACGGAAACACTGTCTTGAATGCAGTCGGACAAAATTGGTTTACTCCAGTTGTCCCTTATGGATAAGGTGAGAAGTGTGGCAGGGACTTGGAGTAGAGCTGCTGCTGCTCCTTCGTGTTGAAAGGAGCCACCCGGTTGCCTCCCTATCCTGGTGTTCCCGGCTTGTCCGGCTGGGAGGAGACCGAGGGCCAGACCCTGGACCAGGTGCAGGAATTAAATCTCCACGCTGGCCTGGGAGCACCTTGATGTGGCGAGTGAAAGGGAAGTTTGGGACCCTCTGCTGGAACTGCTACCTCCGTGACCCGTCTCCGGATGAACGGTTGACTAGGGATGGATGGATGATTCACCGGTGTCTCAAGCACCTTAACAAAGCGCTACTTACTCACTGAACTCCTGATATTCTTTGCTTTTAACTCAATGAATATTCATGTCCATCAGATTTCACACACATAAATACAAGCCACAAAGCAGGTCGAGTCATTCCTTTCACTTTTAATGGCTTGGAGATGAATGGGGTAAAATATGCACTTTTTTTTTAATTCATTGATAGCATCTTTAGGTTGAGGTAATTGAGTCCTTCCCCCCCCCCTTGACTGAATGAATAATGACTTCATCTGATCCCCGGCAAGGCTTGGAAAAATGTAGACCCGCCATTGTTCGAGCAGAAGGCGATCCTTTGCTTTTCAGGCGTGCTCTCTGTCTTAATTTTTCTTCATTTTAATCCACCCAAACCCCCTATTTTTCTCAATAGCTCAACCATGAACCATGTAGTGAAGCAGCAGGGTGGGGAGATACCCACCCACTCGCTCCCGTTACCCTTCCTTTTTTTTCTTGCTACTGGGAGTTTAACAGCGACGGATAAATCAGTCACACTGGTCCCCCGGCTCTCGCAGTCCTCAGGGGAATGGGCTTGGTGGGGGTTTGGGCAGCGGAGGAATTCTGCTGCTTTTTTATACGTGCTTGCCCCCTCCCCTTCTTTTCAGAGCAGTTCCTTTTATTTGAGGGAGGAGAGATGTTATGTTCTGCTGTTTTTGTAAGCGTGGTGCGTCAGAAGAAAGCCCTCTGTGTACAGGGCTTTGCTCTGAGCGCTGCCAGAAAGGGGAAGGGCACTTCTTTATTTGACATCTTTTTCCCACATGCTCCATTGGCTGGGAGATACACTCGAAAAATAAAAGACAATTCTGACCCCCCTTTTTTGTCTTTTCTTTCTTTTTTTCTTCCATAAAGCCAATCTCAATATGGGAACTTTATTTTTGAGGCCTTTTGACCTTCTGTTGTATTGAAAGACAATACTTCAGTATGGAAATAAAGCAACTACAAAACAAACGTATTTATGTCGTACACATGGTTTGCATGATAAAAGCCTGCAGCTAAGAGTGTTTTTCATTGGCTTTGTTTTTGCTCTCTGTCTAGCATATTGTAAGGCTTTGGGAGCAGATGGGGAACTTACATAGTCTTCTCTAGTCACAATTTATGACTAAAATAAATACCATGTTTACTCTGGTAATTCTGTGAATCCCATTGAAGGAAACCCCCACAATGGACTGTAGAATCAAAACCTAATACACACAATGTCATTTTCATTTTGTACGAGTAATTCCATGCTAATGGGAAATGAGTAGGACAATGATGAAGAAGTGATGTCTGACCTATGACCTCTTGTCTATAGGTGGGCTTACTGGACCTTGAGCTGAACCGCCTCACCAAGGCTCTGTTCCTGGCCCAGGTGGTCTTGTCTGTTGTCATGGTAGCAGTGCAGGGATTTGTGGGTCCTTGGTTTCGCAACCTTTTCCGATTTGTCGTGCTTTTCTCTTACATCATCCCCATCAGGTACTTTTTTTACAATGTTTTGATATTTTGTGACCACAGGCAAAATAAAATATGTATGGTTGTACAAAGAAAAAAAAAGTTCTTCGATGAATACTTTGAATCCCAAGCTTCCCGTCTGTTTCCTCTTGGACAAGACATTCTTTAGAACATGGAATATATTTCATTAATTTTGTGTTGCAGTTTTGACACAGTTGTATTATTATTAGTTCTGTGATAGATAACGGCTTTGTTTTTCCTATGGGTAGTTTGCGTGTAAATCTGGACATGGGGAAGTCGGCTTACGGCTGGATGATCATGAAAGACGAAAACATCCCTGGCACTGTAGTGAGAACCAGCACCATCCCAGAAGAACTGGGCCGGCTGGTCTATCTGCTGACAGACAAGACAGGTAGTTGTCCATACACACTGAAGATTACATTCACAGTTCTTGACTTAAAGCAACATTATTTCTGATTTCAAGAGGACAACTATTTTGCATCCAAGTATAGGCTCAACTCTTTTTGCTGTTCTGCTTGATAGCAAAATGATGTTGGAATCATCATAACAATAAAGATCCGACTTTATAGGAGTAGCGCAGGAATGAATCCTAAAACCCAGAACTTAGTTAGTTGGTTTGTGTGGGTTTTTCTTTTGTGTTTTTGGTACCTGAAATAAGGTCTGTCGTAAACAAGAGATTCACATTTTATTTTACGGTTTACAGTAAAAACCCTTCTGGAGAATGTTTGAAAGTTTACTTTTTCTCAAAGGGAGCCCTTGTGATGCTAACTTCTAGGAATCATACATCTATCGATTAGATTTATGATCGATAGATTTATGAATAGAAATTATAAAAGTAGGGTAATATTATCCGGCTGAACAAAACGTGCATTTATCTAACAGGTTATTTTCTACAGACCTTATTTCGAGCTATTTTCCAAAATCCTATGGAGAAATCCCATTGCTCTTTTGTGGAGGGAACCCGAGCGCAGCTTACTTCCGGGTTTTAGGACGCGTCACTGCACCTCTCTATTCTATGTACAGGGTAACACTGTTTGTAGATTTTATGCAATTATTAGTGTAGCACACACAAGACACTTGCTTAACAATAAACAAATAACTTATGTATTTAATGTATTTATACATTTGTATTCAAATGTAGTTTCAGCCACCTAATTGTGGTTAAGTTATACACATTCTGAGGTAAAAGAAAGGACAAAAGGTCAAACAAATCTCCCTAATGTGTGTTCCTTCAACTTCTCTCATTTCACAATCATGTCCTGATTGTCTAATAACAAATGGCTGCTCTTTACTAATTCTAGTCAATGTGGATCAGTGATAAACGCCTGCTGTGCTCCTAACATGCTCCTCTGTCTTACCCCGCTGATCTAGGTAGGAATAGATTAGCTGTAGAGCCTATTTGTCCAGGTTGATAGTTAAAGCACATGGAAAGAAGAACAAACAATCAATCAGAGAGAATTGGTTAACCCCTGTCTCTAATGTTTTTGGAAGTGAGATGCCCTCTAATCAGCTTTAAGCTCCATCGCCACACATTCTGTCTACCCACATCCATTCAAAAAAGCCATTGCTCTGTTTTACAAAGTTGTTGTTTTTTAGTGTCTGGACATTCACTCAGTCTTTTTGTATGCAATGTCTGTTAGTAAGAGAGGACATGCACTCCATATTGGTAATGAGATTAGGTCAATGAGAAGGCAGTCACACAGTGATGCATTGTGGGCAGTCCACTGGTGATAAATGCTGTGTGTGTGCTTGTTAACTTCAGATATGTTAAGTATATTTATTTTGCTATGAAATAGTGCCTTTTTGATTCAGACACCTTTGATGGTTTTTTTACCCATTTCTTAAACAGCTGATATTTTGTATATCATTCTTATCTTATTACGTTATGTGTACAGAGCAGAAGATCCTAAGTTATTGATTTACCTTCATTAGATTTTCTTATAGTCTAAATTCAATAGCAAACAAAATAAACTTTTTTATAGTTTGTCAACTAGAGAACACTGACATGTTTATTTTTTATAAACTGTCATTTTCCCACTTAGTATGCACCCTGGTCACACAAAGATAATACTTGTGCTACACACACCAGCCTTAAAGATACAGTATCAGTTGGGCTTTACTTGTTATGCTTAAGATGGTTCTGCTATAACAGAAATGAGAGCAGTCCTCAATAAAGGAATAATGATTGGGTAATTTCTTTATGATTTATTAGTTTGTGACATTGTATTGGTCTTCTGAACTGCAGGCACATTGACTCAGAACGAAATGGTCTTCAAGCGGCTGCACCTGGGCACAGTATCCTACGGCACGGACACCATGGACGAGATACAGAGCCACATAGCTCAGTCATATGCTGCACAGGTAAGATGTATTTCCGTTTATAATTCCTTAATTAACTGGATTGTTCAGTAAACATTCTGACCACCACCATCCAGAAAACTATAGCATCAAGTTTGAGCACTCATTTGGGAATGAATCCACTACTTTTATTCTCTTTAGCTATACAATTATATGAATTCCCAATAAATGATGTTAAATCTACATCATCCAGTATGTAAAACTGGACAGAACCAATCAAAACAAAGCAAAACGTGTCACTTGCAACATAAAAATGTGTTTCCAGTCGTGGAGAGGATACATTTAAATACAAACGTGTTCTCTCGTGTTTTTCTGCTTATTCACGCCTCTCCCTGTAGATCACATTGATCAATATTTATATTGAGCTAAGGATAAGATTTCCAGGAAAGAAGCCCATATTGTTCATTCATCAGGCAGTGTCCCTCAGCGCGTCCTCGTACTGTAAGCAAGTGTTTTCCTCACCGGGTGGCTCAGATCTGGCTGCAGTCTTGACAGAATGATATTGTTCATACTCAGCCAGCTCCAGCAGCTGCTCAGCACTGAAACCATCTGCCCCACACCCTTATGTGTAATCTCGGCTAATGAAAAATGACGAGTCCTTTTTAGAGCTGCAGCTGAAGCAATTCCTCTGACCAGCTATTTTTACTATGTTGCTCTTTATTTACTGTGACAGTGACATAATTACAGGAATCATTTTTAGCACTATTGTTAATGTAAACAATCCACCCAGATTAGGGCAGAAATTAACAGTTGTTGCCATTTATGTATTTATATATAATACTTTTTCTTAACTAAAACTTATTTTTACTTTAAATCTTTAAAAGATATTAAAATGGTCCTTTTCTGTGGTGTTCCCTTCCCTGTAGTAGTGTGTTCTATAGGTTGTTGTGCATGTGAATGGTCTGCAAAGGCTTAAATCCCAAAGTTCCCTCCAGAGGGAGTTTCCCTCCCGCACACTTTCCCCCCCCCCTTCTTTTTTTTAACGATTAATATTATAAATCTTTAAAAACAAACGTGTTGTAGTACATGTTGTTGAACTAATATTATACTTCATTACCTAGCAATATCATTAGCATCCTCTTCATGTTGCTCCAATGCTTAACTTGTCTGACAACATAACCCAATCGTCTCTCATTGATCTTTCAGTCACTTTCCATGAAGGTTGTCATACTGTATTCCCCACTGCCCCTCCTCCCTGCCTGGCAGGACTGAAGGTTAATAATAAGCCAAAATCAAACGCTTCAGCAGAGCGCGTCGCCCCCGTCAGGTGCAGCTGGCACAGTGGGCTGTCTGCCTGCTCCGCTAGTCACCCCCCAGTTAAACTGATGGCTGATGTCAAAACAGCGGAACACATAAAAGGTCCTCAAATCAGATATGACACGATAAAGACGGTGATACCACACTTCCCTTCGCTGAGTCGTTTATCTTGAACAGGGGTGTCAGAGTGAATTGGCGACCAGTGTAGGATTCAACCTATGTGCAGGCATCCTTCAGTTGTGACTGTTTTTAAATGTATTTACAAGTCATTTTCTAATGTTCTGACTCCATGGTTCACATTATTTCAGCCGCCCTCCCAGCCCTCCAATGGAAGCACCAGCGGCACCACTCCAGCACGGAAAACCCAAAGCTCGGGCCCGAAGGTCCGCAAGAGCGTCAGAAGTCGCATCCACGAGGCTGTGAAGGCCATCGCCCTGTGCCACAACGTCACACCGGTCTATGAGTCCCATGCCGCCGTGAACGGAGAGACGGAGTCTGCTGAGGCCGACCAGGACTTCAGTGATGACAACCGAACCTACCAGGCCTCCAGCCCTGATGAGGTAAACATGACATCCAGGAAACAGTTTCAGCACCTTCAACTTTAGAGGGAATACATGGGTTCACTAATAACTTAGTGTTTCAGAGGTTACATAAACACCTCATCTTAATGACTATCTTTATTTTGCCCTTTATACTAAATATTTCCCATTGCTTAGGGTTTCATTTAGGAACATAAATGACCTTGTTTTCTAAAGCACCATTACAAATCTTTTTAAATGTCTCATATTTTGTAAGTTAGAGTAAACAATGAGATTCTCAGGAGAACAGCCTGTGTTTTTCTGTCTTCATGTTTTATTGGTGATCCTAAATAACCCTGGTTTGTCATAATAGTCATTTCATGAACACAAAGTCAGAGGTCGTGATCCCCTCATAGAGGTTAAGCTATTTAACCGTGTGTACTTGCTTCCTGTGAATTTACTGCTCCTGGTAGAACGTAGAAACGATCCCTAAAGGCATCACTACCGCTTCCTTTCCTCTGACCGTTCCTTTATGGCTGAACGTGCTGCTGAGCCTTTATATATAGCCCTTAATAATCATTTTATACAATTGAGAAACCCAAGGAGAATCTGTACTTACATCTGGAAAACAGGGAAAGATTTTTTTAACAGGTAAGTAACAGTCAGTATCTGTTTTTAAAGAGATGTTTAATGCGTGTTGAGGGGTAGTTAATCCCCCCACACACCCCCATTTCAACACGTTTGTCACCCATGATATGTGAGAGCCTTTGTGAGAATGCGGCACTTCAGGTTGAACCCAGAGTCTAGCTATCTAACAATCAAAATAAAGATAAAAAGGTGGCGAGAGATAAATCTCAGTTGTCCTCCCCCTCTGAGTTGATGTATATATTTATTTATATCCCGGCCCACTCCGTTCTATCTCCCCTCTCTGTATTGTCTCACACTGCTCGGATTGATCAATATTTAATTTTCTCCCAGAGACGATGAGAGGTGGAGGTCTGTGATTGTAGCTGGAGCCCTCCCTTCCCCTTCTACTATATTCTTTGTTCTTCCTCTGCCCCCCCCCTCTCTCCCTCCTTGTCTCCTCACTCTCATTGACTGCAGCATCAGATCTTGGCTGCTGCTCGTCTGTTAGTGATAGTTTGTTTGGCCCTGGCTCTCTGCTCAGCCTCTAATGTAATGAGCCATCATTAAGGAGATGAAGTGGGCGGCCGCAGAGGTCATCTGACCTGCCGGTGAACAGAGTTCTCCTGTGACCTTTGACCTTCGTAATATCAGACAAGAGCATTGGACTGTAGACTTTAATGACTGCCATGTCCAGGAAGTGGGTGCTTCATCATTTCCAATTGGATGTAACTGGCAGTTTCACTGAGTGTGATGTTCACCATAAGGTATCTTATTTGGGTTCAAATTTGTATTTTGTTTCTCTACTGTGCCATTTAAATGCCTACATGTCAAAAAGCTCTTTATTGTTCTCATACTGCCTGTGCTGCAGCACCTCTGTTCACCCTCTGTCTGAAACCAGAGCCCAGTCTGCTCTGATTGGTTAGCTGGTCTCGGCTCTGTTGTGATTGGTCAACCGCTTAGAGATGTCCCGCCCCTTAGCCTGTTACGTACAATATGTTGTAGTGTCAGCCAATAGAAGAGCCAGTGTTACATAGTGATGTCACTATGTTATGGAAGGAGTCCAATGGATTTGTTCCAGGCAGACTGGGCTCTGGTTTCAGACAGAGGGTGAAAAGAGGTAGGCACAGGCAGTATGAGAACAATTAAAAAAAAGTTTAACATTAAAGCATGTAGACATGTCACAGTTGAGACATTTTAATACAAATATGAACTAGGCCCTTTTTTTCATGTTAAAACCGTTAAATGATCTCCAGAATAATTCACTTCTAATACCTTTTATATTGACATCGACATGACATGAGCAGTATTTAACCTGTTAATGGTCAATTTTCCTCATGACATGCTTGAGCTGCTGTTAATGTTAAAGGCAGTGCTACCATTGTGATTTAAATTGTCCATGATCATTCAAACGTTGTGAACACAGTTGAATATTGATCAGGTTGTTTAATCCTGCCTGTCCTAAAGTAGCTTTTCTATTACTGTCGTAACGCATAATTCGCATTCAGTTTGTATCAAAGTTGACAAAGCTTTAAATAGTTCCTGTAGAGCTCAAACAGGAGATTGAACAGCTAGATTTAGGATTCTCAGTACATGGTGTATCTGTCCATGTGTGTATGAGCTACACACACAACCACCAGGATAATGACACACAGATGTGTGTTAAGTAAATACAGGCAGCTCCTTTTTACGGAGCTCAAAGGGGGAGCAGCAGAAATGACGGGGTATTAACAGGAAGTTCCAATTTGTAGGTCAGAGTATAATAACAACCTTTGAGTGAGCAAATTGAAAATGAACCCATTGAGGATTGAGTCGTGTGCAGCTGAACGCTCACTCGGGGGCTGCAGTTCCTGCTGAGGAGGGAAGAGGAAAGAGAAACAGAAAAACACTTATCTGGAGCTGAAAGAGGAGCTCGGGAGAAGCCGTAACTCTCTCAGGCCTTGTCTTTCAACTGCAAGAGAGATACGATTCAGTCTGCTCCATGGTCTACATTTTGGATTTGGATTCAACATGTTTTATATTTGGTTAAAAATGATCGCAAAATAAAAAATCACATCTTTTTCACATATGTATTGTGCGAGATTAGCTTGCTTATTTTATTTGTATTGAGTAAATGCCTGAGTCCTTTGCAAATGATGGGTTGAATGCAATATATCTCCATCCTTAACTAGGGATATAGGATTTGAATGCGGAACAGGAAATCTATTCTTGATTTCTGAAGGTTACGTTTCTTTTAGGTTAAGATTACCTTATTGTGTTTAGGATGCCTTTGTTGCAAGTTTAAGCATATGTGGACAATAATATCCTGAATCATAATGAATTTTGCAAGGTTAAACATGACATGTAATTTAGAGGTCTGTCCTATACTCTCGTATTGTAGGAATCAGGTCATTGATATTTGACTGTGACTTTTGCATTGTCCTTTTAGTCAGTATAAAAAATGGCAGAATTCATCAGCTCTCTTTGATTTATTGAAGTTAGAGCGTAAATGTTATTGTGTAGGGGAACTGCCCTGTTTCTAGCTTCTGTACAGTTTTCTTTTTGAATGTTTTCCTCAGGTGGAGCTGGTGCGGTGGACGCAGAGCGTCGGCCTGACCCTGGTGAACAGAGACCTGGCCTCCCTGCAGCTGAGGACCCCCTCCGGACAGATCATTTCCTTCCACATCCTGCAGATCTTCCCCTTTACCTCCGAGAGCAAGAGGATGGGCATCATCGTCAGGGTGGGGAACTTGTTTATAACATAATAATAATTATAATATAATTGTTTATGACTCTTTATCACCTTGATGTGTTAAATGTGGCTGCTGGAAGATGCTTGGTGTAGAGCTATAGGATTCTGATGTTTACATATTTCGGCTACCGTGAACAGGAAATGTACTAATTGTCATTGATGATATGGTTTAGGAGGAGTCGACCGGAGACATCACTTTCTACATGAAGGGAGCTGATGTTGCCATGGCGAGCATCGTCCAGTATAACGACTGGTTGGAAGAAGAGGTAAAATCTACAATCTATACGACCTACTGAGGGTGCATTCGAGTTGTAATGACAGGGAAACTTCTGTTAATTGTGACTTCCGACACATGCACAATATTCGCCTACAATGCAATGACGATGAAGCTTCCTGCTTCCATCAACTGTAAAATAAATTGTTCTGTCAATCAATCAAAACAATTAATTAATCATGAAACTTTAGTTTATTTTCACTTCAGACTTTCCAACTAATGATGATTAGTGATTATTAAATCATGTTTGAAATATTTAAGAAATGCTTGACAAACTGGTAAGAGAAATCAAAGGGGTTTGAATTTATTATGAAATTATTTTACAAAAATTGGCATTAAGTTCGACAATTTTCCAATCCTAAACTAAACCATCGACTTACCGGCTGTCACAGAGAGACACTGTGATTGCCCTCTGTATAACGTGCGCTACACAAGGCATAATATCTATGCTGCTATCATACTGCGAGCACTATCTGTTCCTACAGTGGTGAATCTGTCCACACTCCTGTGCTGCTTCTGGGAAACTAGTTCATGGTTCAGCAAAATGTCTTCCACCGTTTTCAACACACCTAAAGCGAACAAGTGCAACTCATTCGTCATGGATTAATTTAGCCATTGCAGTAAGTTAGTGATGGTTTCTACTGATGTCCATTGGTCTCCAGTCAGTGCAGTACATGTAGCTTATGTCAATTCCTCCGCTTTTTAGCCTTTTCACTGCCATGCAATTCATTGGAAACATCCATATTAAAATGGACAGACCTAAAAATAAAACATCTGCCCCAAAACGTCTATAAAAACTCTTTAATTTTAGGCAAAACATTTTTATTCTATGTTTATTCGTCTGGTTGGACCCAGCCACTGTGCGTAATCTTTTGTGTCTTTTCGTAAAAGCATCAATCATTATCTCATTGCTTGAAATAAGCACCTCTTGATGAAAACTGTAATGAAATAGATAATAACAAGCAATAGATAAACACACACACATCATCACATAGTGGTATTTTTGTCCAATGCTGTAATCAGGACATTCATTGAGAGAGACATCGGGCCGTGTCTACACCAGCTTGGTGATCGAAGGTCTTGTGTGCATATGTTCATAATTATATTGGCATTATTGAGTCATTTAGCACTGTGGGCGCCGTTTGATTTAATTAGTGACCTACATAAAGTTGAAGTAATTACAGTATGTCATATTCCTGATCAATTGTTCTAACGATGTCCTGTTGGATGTAATATCCCGCTGTCAGATCAGCCGGCGCTACGCTTATTCTCTTGTCAATAACCAATCAACAGAGCAGATTCGCCCCATTGGTGTTTCATATCAAATATAAACCGCCGTCCATCCCTTTGTTTTACGGTGTCCTCTGAATTACACCAGAGGCTATGTTATTCACTATTGATTTCTCTGCTGTTGTAACAATATGCTGCTATCGACAGTACTGTACATGGTGTACTTATAGCAGCCGCTCTGATAGAACAAATGATCTGCCCATGTTTGATTTATATTCATCTCCGCGAGGGATAATTATTTTGACCCCTGTGCCTCGCTTTGAAAAAGTAAAAAAGGTGCCAATAAATAACAAGTTATATTAGTATTTTTATCCACTTTCAAAGTGAAATATTGTCACCAACATCAATCCGGATCATAACGACGAAATATTTATTAATTTTAAACTTTAACCCTTTCAATGCCTGCTTGTTTATGTAATAGCACTGTGGTTTTTTCAGGAAAAATAAGCACAAACTTGCATTTGCTTAAATGCTCTGCACGTATTAATCCACACATTGATACATTTACACACACAACTTAATAACATCACACAAACTTGACCCTCCAATCAGAGATTCAGTCTCCTAGGGCAAGGAATGTTCGCCAAAGGGTGGGGAAATTGTTGTGGACTGACTCACAATGACAATCACCAACATTCATTTTGATCCATAGCTGTAGAATTAAAGCGTGACATGTTAAAAATGTAGATTCTAAGCTGTTATGGCAGTAAGATTAACATTTGTGGGTTTGATTGGTTTCAATGGGGACATTTTAGTCCTTATGAGTCTGAGTGTTTCTATTTTAGCTAACAGTTTATTATACTTATAGCAATAGCTGAGAATGATCTTTCATAATAAAAAAAACAACAACCCAAATGTATGCCATATATATGCAATAACACAGCCTAAAAATCTAAAGTGTGTCTCGAGCGGCACAAGAGTTAAAAAACCAAAACCTTAAAGAATAGAAATTGAAAGTCTTTCTTTTAAAGGCAGAACTATGTGTATATCTCATAACACCCTGTCCCTCTCCTCTCTGTCAGTGTGGGAACATGGCCAGGGAGGGCCTGAGGACTCTGGTGGTGGCCAAGAAGTCTCTGTCTGAGGAGCAGTACCAGGACTTTGAGGTATGGATCATCAATACATTGCATGCTGTGTTAGGCTGCATCTACACAGAGACGAAACGGAGAAAGAACCGAATTCGATATCAAAAAAGTCTTCCGTCCACACGGTATCGCCTCATGAAAGGTGTCCGTCCACTGGAGACGCTGTAGTACATATGCCGGGCCTGTAAGTGGCGCTGTACTTCCGCCACAAAATACACCAAAAGTAGCGAATCAGACCTCCCGAGCATGGTTGCCATGGTTGCCTGGTTGCCCTTCTGTTTAACTTTTTTTCAATAACATATTAAAGTCTCCCAGTCCGTGACTTTTCCTGAAAGTGCGTTATGTAGCACCCTCAGTTGTTAACAATTGTCAATATGAAGTCAGATTGAAAAAATCGCCAAAAAAAATGCCATTATACCTATATCCGCCAGCGGGTAATATTTACCTCATAGAAAATGCAGCGTAAACATAACGTGTTGCTATAGCAACGCCTTTTATCTACTGCGGTTCCTTATAGATAGAGAGATAGATTGAGAGATAGATATATTGATAGATGAATAGAGAGAGAGAGATAGACAGATAGATAGTTATAGATAGTGTAACATCTTGGAGAATACAAGATCTTGGATGACTGAGCTCACGTTGAGGACGTAATGCATGTGTGCAGGTTACGTGCCAGTTGAATAAAGATGGACACTCGGAATGAGAGAAGTAGTCCGTGTCGTCTGTTTATGTAAACAATTATATGTCCATAGAACAGAACATTACAGATGGATCGATAGATAGTTATAGATAGATAGAGAGATAGAGAGATTTGTACCTAAACAAAACACAAGTCTAACACCAAGCGTTTAAATCAGCACTCTTAGCGATATGTTATACTTCATGCTATCTGCACAAACGATATCAAATGAAGAGCTGAGAGTCCACAGATTATATTGGTATAAGTTTCATCCCTGTGGGATCAAAACTCACTGTTCTGTATGATCAATAAAAGAACATTGTACCTTGAAAATCAATAGCGGGTACATTTTACCCGTTCGGCGGTTTTAGGTATACAGCGACCTCTGGCGGTTCTAGTGTTAACGACTCATGTTTTCTTTAATTGGAACTAGAGGTAAGTCTTTTCAACAAAATAGCGATGTTTCCTCTTGGATTTAGGTTGTTTCTATATCATGACAGCAGCTTTTTTGAGTCACTTAATGATTAAAAACTCAGCATTCACACACACTTTTTAGTTATGTTGACATGAGTAATTATCAGTTGCCTTTTTCACTTTTACCTCACAATTCATTATTTTTCGTTTTCTTTACCCCCTCAATGTATAGAACCGCTACAGCCAGGCGAAGCTGAGCCTCCATGACCGCGGCCTGAAGGTGGCAGCAGTGGTGGAGAGCTTGGAGCGGGAGATGGAGCTGCTGTGTCTGACCGGAGTGGAGGACCAGCTGCAGGCCGACGTCAGGCCCACGCTGGAGCTGCTCAGGAACGCTGGCATCAAGGTAAGGCTGTCACTGTGTCAGACTTTCAATACATGGTTAAAGTGCCAAAAGCATTCTTAGCAAAAATATTGTGACAATATCTGTAGAACATTTTGAAAAATTAACAATGCAACTGTATCAGTAAAATTCATCTTCAACTCTTTCTGTTGTGAAATGACTTTCCGTACTGTCAATACTGATATTTCGCAACATACCTACTATGAATACTGCCACCAGGGTTATTCTGGTCAACTCTGAGACTCAAATATATCCCCTAATACCTCAAGAGTCATTCAGCGTTTAAACCAGATACACAAAAAGGAGGTAATGATGATAATCTTAATTTGTACACGTCCAAAATATCTGAGGTTATTAAAGACAGTTCACACTTTAAGGTGAATTTCAGGCCCTTCAAATCCAAGTTACCGCGGGGAAGGAAATGTTAAAAAGCCTTTATTTAAAAACAATTGTAAATATATATTTACTTAACTCAAATCATTTAAAATACTAATATACTATTATTTATTATCCCAAACTATTTAAAAAACAAATCAATAAATAATATAACTTGATCATTGAAAAGCCAAAAAGATTTCCCTTTTTCATTTGTTAGCCCTGACATAGAGTAGTTGGAACATTTTGCTGTTGTAATATACCAAAATTAGTTTTTAACATTTCCTTTCTCATGGTTATTATCTTTTGCCCTGATCTCCATTCTGTTGATTCAGATGTTCCCTGTTTGCTAAGAGCATGCAACACATGCATCATCTCAGGTTGAGTACACAGAGCAACCAGTTATGTCTCTTTCTTGAATTACAGATCTGGATGCTAACGGGGGATAAACTTGAGACGGCTACGTGCATCGCCAAAAGCTCCCACCTGGTGTCCAGAACCCAAGACATCCATGTGTTCAAGCCGGTACGCTGTTTCCCTTTGATGTTATCACAAAGCGCTTATGTATCGGGGAATGACTAAAAGCCTAATGTCCTCACGGCTAATTGTATTGTGTGGCTCTCGAGCAGATCTCCAGCAGAGGAGAGGCCCATCTGGAGCTCAACGCCTTCAGGAGGAAGCATGACTGTGCTCTGGTCATCTCTGGAGACTCCTTAGAGGTACTAGAGCACAGCGCAGCACACAGTCATGTTTACTAAGGGAGCAGATGATGCTGAGGATGCAGCCAAAACCAATACTTAACACTTTAACCAGAGCTCTGAAGATTTGGAGAGGACATCAATCATATTAGTCCTTTTTTATGAGGCTAAAAGATTAGAAAAGTTCAGTTTTAACTTAACTTAGAAAAAGACATACATTAAAGAAAGGCACAGGTACAGCCAGGTAATGGTCAATATAATGTGCCGAACAAAAACACAAGACATTGTTATGATCCTGGACTTGTTTTACATCAGTACAGTATTTCTACCTGATGCCACTTTATACTTATACACTGCAATGGAAGCTTTTATTACTCCACTACATTTATTTTACAGCTTTAGTTACTAGCTTCTTTGCAGATAAGAGTTTATAATAAAAGAAAACAATAAATCATGATGTATTATTACAGTTCAAGCTACCCAGCAGCATGTAAAGTAATTGAAATAAACACCAACTTTACTCAGTGCAACATTGAAGTGATGAACACCATAATGCAATAGATATCATTCTGCAATGGGCCATTCATCAAGATACGTACTTTAACTTTTTGAACCTAAAGTATATTAAGTATATTTTACTTGAGTTCAATTTGAATACTGGACTTTTATGCAAGTACTTCTTCCAACTCAGGATGTGTATCGCTTTTATTGGAACCAAAAGGGATATTTCTATGGTACAAAAGGTAAAAGACAATTAAGATTGTGTAGGAGATGAAATGGCCATTTACTTTCCTAAAAGGCTTTACTGTAATCAGTGTTTTCACTTGTATGGCATTTAAGTCCGACTGATAAAGTATTGCAAGAGATCACGTGAATATCTGTAGAACTTTAATTGTTCAGTAATCTATGTATTGTATCTTAGCTCAGATTTCCTGTGTACAGATTTAAAAAACTATAATGCAATTACAACAAAGACAACCAGAGTGTATCTGTGTTGTGTTGCAGGTGTGTTTGCGCTATTACGAGCATGAGTTTGTGGAGCTGGCGTGTCAGTGTCCTGCGGTGGTCTGCTGTCGCTGCTCCCCCACCCAGAAGGCCCAGATCGTCACGCTCCTCAAGCAGCACACAGCCAACAGGACCTGTGCCATAGGTGAGGGCTGACACAGACTGACACACGTGTCTGTACAGCTCAGTCCCTTAGGGAGGAAAGGCTGGACAGATGAATTAAATACCCATCCAGTGATTTATTTTATTCTCTTTTGGATGGGGATTTGGTTTAAAGTTATGATTTGCCTTCAAACTGTCTGCCATACCCCAGTTGTGCCTGCATTGATATCTATCAAATGCTGACAATGCACAGACACCGGAGCAAATATATATATATATATATTGTACTTCTTTTATCCACAAGATGGCAGTCAAAGCTCACTAAGAGAAGCACCCAGCAAAGTGTGCATCTTTCAGTTCAGATCATATTTGGCTTACAGGAGATGGCACAAACACAACATACAAGAGGACATGGGACATACTTCACCACAATTACAGCCTTAAATACAATACAAAATAAATACATTTTAATCTAGCTTTTCCAGATTCAAATATTGTACAATTATTTTGTTGTTTTTTCTCTTTTTGTGAAAGGTGATGGAGGAAATGATGTCAGTATGATCCAGGCTGCAGATTGTGGTATTGGAATTGAAGGAAAGGTAAAGACCTCCATTTACTACATAAACAGATTTAGATTAATCACTCATGAGAGCTAGTTAATTCAGTCAAAGAAACTGCAATAATCTTGAAAAACTTTATTAAACACTTAATTTAGTAAGAAGTCAAACGGATATTATTCCTGCAAGGCCACACATTATACCAAACTATAAAACTTCAGGGAAACTAGGAACAAAGTGACACATTCTGTAACTTTAGATACTTTTTTAATACAATTTCAGAAGTATATGGTTTAACACTTTGGTGTGTGTGTGTGTGTGTGTGTGTGTGTGTGTGTGTGTGTGTGTGTGTGTGTGTGTGTGTGTGTGTGTGTGTGTGTGTGTGTGTGTGTGTGTGTGTGTGTGTGTGTGTGTGTGTGTGTGTGTGTGTGTGTGTGTGTGTGTGTGGTGTGTGTGTGTGTGTGTGTGTGTGTGTGTGTGTGTGTGTGTGTGTGTGTGTGTGTGTGTGTGGTGTGTGTGTGTGTGTGTGTGTGTGTGTGTGTGTGTGTGTGTGTGTGTGGTGTGTGTGTGTGTGTGTGTGTGTGTGTGTGTGTGTGTGTGTGTGTGTGTGTGTGTGTGGTGTGGTGTGTGTGTGTGTGTGTGTGCCGGCCGGGCACGCAGGCATCTCTGGCTGCAGACTTCTCCATCACGCAGTTTAAACACATTGGGCGCCTGCTCATGGTTCACGGCAGGAACAGCTACAAGCGCTCTGCAGCGCTGGGTCAGTTCGTCATGCACAGAGGCATGATCATCTCCACCATGCAGGTATTAAAACACTCACACAATATTCATGTTTAAGTCGTTTTCTCCTTGATGCCTGTTTTAAATAAGTGGTCCTGCTTTTAATTATTGCTCAGTGCTGAAGCCTGAGACAATCTTCCACATTGTGGCCAATACAATTCTTAAATAACTGACTTTATGACACAATTTCTGTTCCCTTTCCTCAGGCGGTCTTCTCTTCTGTGTTTTACTTTGCCTCTGTGCCACTGTACCAGGGTTTCCTCATGGTTGGGTATGTACCTTTTCCAAATGTCTTAATGTGGTAAAAATGTATTGTTTTAAATGTATCTGCCACCTCACAGATACTCCTATTGTAGCCAAGGCGCTAAGTTGCCTGTTTAGCATAACAAAGCTATTACCTCTATATAACAGTCTTAGGACAACCAAATGCAATGGTTAACTATGGCTAATATGGCAACAGCCTTACGGTAACACAGCACAGATTTGTGGAAATATGTGGTCCATCTTAACCCTGTTTTGTTGTGTGCAGGTATGCCACCATGTACACCATGTTCCCTGTGTTCTCCTTGGTTCTGGACGAAGATGTGAAGCCAGAGATGGCTCTTCTCTACCCAGAGCTTTATAAAGACCTCACCAAGGTACAGTGCCCTTTTTTTAAATATATTTACATTACTTGCAGTGTCGCAATATGTATTCTAAATTAGAAATCCATCCAAATAAGCTTTTGATTTTACGTTCAAAATCAAGAACAGGATTGGCCATTTTCCTTGTTTTTTTCTTCTCTTCACCCACACTTACTTACATGCATCAGAAGGTAAAAAACACTTAGCGGTAGCCTGAATCAGCATTTTCAAAACATTAAAAGATTTTATTTTTAAATTAGGGAGGTAAATGGTAAATGGACTGTACTTATATTGTGCTTTATCCAGTCTTTACGACCCCTCAAAGCGCTTTACATACTACATGTCATTCACCCATTCACACCCATTCATACAGAGCAGTGCCACTTGCTCTAGGACCTAACATTCACACACATTCACACACCGTTGTCCATGCCATTGGGAGCAACTCAGGGTTAAGTATCTTGCCCAAGGATACATCGACGTGTTGGCTGCACGGGCTGGGATCGAACCCACAACCTTCTGGTTGAAAGACGACCGCACCCCCTCTCAGCCACAGTCGCCCTGTGGTGTAACGGTACGTCCACACCGCAGCGTCGCGTTGAAGCTTTGCCTCCGTTGCTCGCTTCGAAAGTTGAGAAAAGTTCAACTTTTCAAGCGTCGACGGAAGTGCCAGCCAATCAACTCATATGCCAGTACAAGCTCTAGCCAATCAAACCGCGTGCTTGTGTGTCCAGGGCGGGAGATGAATGTGATTGGTTGTTGGTCGCACGCCAGACACGCCCACCGGCAAGCTTCAACGCACGATCATGGGCGACTTTGGCTGTCAGGTAGTGCGATCATCTTTCAATTGGAAGGTTTGATCCCAACCTTCGAAGTCGACATGTCGATGTATCCTTGGGCATGGTACTTAACTCCGAGTTGCTCCCGATGCCAACGTTGTGTAAATGTGTGTGAATGTTAGCTTACTTAAGCAAGTGCCACATAGCTCTGTATGAATAAGTGAATGATGACTTGTATACTACTGTACATACAGTACTAGGGATGGGTATCGTTAGGATTTTATCGATACCGGTACCGCTTATCGGTATTTTTCTATACTCTTATCGATACTTTTCAATAATTTGGTGCTCAAAATTATAGACATGAATACAAGATGTGAAGATTAAACAGTCATTTTATTGTAATGTTCTTGCAGAAATAACTGTATAACTTATACATTAGCTTCTCAGAAGCAGACAAAAATAAATAAAATAACTTAAAGGGGCCTGGCTCGCCCTATCATGCTTTTTGGGGTTTTCCCTCAGACAGAGGATGAAAAGAGGCATTTTTAAAAAAAATGTTTAACATTAAATTGTAAATCAGTTACATCTTCATCCAGACATTTCAAACTGACAACCTAGCTCGACAAGAGATCCTTAAAACATTGTCCTACAGTGACATCATGCAAAACTGTGATATGAAGAAATTGGTAAAAGGCTAAGATGGCAAAAAGATAAAGGCGAGTACGTATATTATTCTGGATTGTACTTTTAAATCATCACAAAATAAATGATGTGCTGAACTGAAACACGTCAAAATGTGTCTGAAGGTTTAAACATAGAACAAAGTATTTGAGCTTAAAATATGTCAATTCCTAGTAAACGACCAACAATTGCTGAACCATACATTGAAACGTTGACCTTTAACAACATTTAAATGCAGTTTTCTAATTCACAATGACATCTGTAAGTTTAACTGGTTTATAAAGCATTCAATGAAAGGCCAAATTACACTGAACAAAAATATAAATGCAACACTTTTGTTTTTGCTCCCATTTTTAAATGAGATGAACTCAAAGATCTAAAACATTTTCTATATACACAAAATAACCATTTCTCTCAAATATTGTTCACAAATCTGAAAATATCTGTGATAGTGAGCACTTCTCCTTTGCCGAGATAATCCATCCCACCTCACAGGTGTGGCATATCAAGATGCTGATTAGACAGCATGATTATTGCACAGGTGTGCCTTAGGCTGGCCACAATAAAAGGCCACTCTGAAATGTTCAGTTTTGCTTTATTGGGGGGGTCTGGGGGGTACCGAAGTGGGCCGGTCGAGAGTCCCGGGCTGATTTGTAGTCCTAGTCCGCCCCTGCACACAGCGTTAGCGGGACATTCTCCTCCCCCTGTCGGCCCTAAAAGCTTCAGAGGGCGGATAGCTGGGCTCCGTAGCGTCCCACTAGCTTAGCCGCTAGCTAAAGGTAAACATAGATGGGTACATAGAATATGAATAAATCGTCACCGATGTAGAGGATATATTTTATATATTATTCACTTTGAACTTGGCCTAATGGAGTTCAATGCTTTGGGATTATACATCCAGTGGCGAACCGTCAGGGCCTTCAAGGTATTCAGAGAATACCCAGGAACACTCAGATAAAACAAACAAAATATCGATTTAATTATAGAAATACAATTTTATAAAATGAATAAATGAGAATCGTATCTGTGTTGTTGATCTGTAATATTAAAGTGTTACTTTGATTTGTTTGTCCTTCTTGGACCATGCACTACGCATTTCAGTGGTTTTCTGTTAGAAAAGAAAGCAACCAATCAGATCTTGTTCTGGGTCTCTGGGTAGAATATCCTTCAACCAAGGTATTCTACATCCTTGATCGAATGCCCTGGCCGTTGCACTGACTGAGAGTGTACGTTCGGACTGACAGTTTGATCAACCAATCATATATTGATTTGTAGCCAATGGGCGTATTCTTTCAGAGTTTCCCTCGGTTCCAGGGTATTCTAGAAGGCCCGCTAGTTCACTGGCTCGAGACAGAGGATCTAGAATGCGACGAAGCAATTCATGCCGTTTTATTGTTTTTAACGTTGAAATGACAAGTGCAACAGGTGAAGATGAAGTTGTTGCGGAATCGTTGTGAGTACCCTTTTCAAGACGACAATTCAGTGAAAAGACGGACATTATAATGTCGCGGAGGGGGGGGGGGGCAGCGGCGGGTGTGTGTGTCTACAGAAGGTCCAGTTGTGATAGACACGGTTCGCCACTGAATACATCGTATAGTCAGGCACACATTTATGAGATTTAACAATGGCCAATTATATTTATTAAATAATATGTAGCCTATTCCCAGAGCATAATTCATGGGGCAACAAGGTGAGGTGTAAAATGTGTTTTAATATCATACATTTTATGCCAGCAAACTTCTTGTACGGACTTCGGCAGTAGTGAAGACTCACTGAACAAATTAAAGGTGGGGTAGGTAATTTTGGAGAAACCAGCTCGAGTGCGCTAGAATTTGAAAATACACAGCCGGAAAAAATCTGCCACTTCCTCAGAGCCCCTCCTCCAACACACACGAACGCGCACATGACCAATGAGGGCATGAGATAAGTTTGTGCACAGATGGAAGGCTGACAGGCAGGTAGGCCATCCAGTTACTTTAGCCGGGCCGGCTAAAATGATTGGTCGTGCTTTTTACAGTACTACGGCTTCCACAGATGACATTTTTTTATGGATGTTTTGTCAAAGCACTTAAGATATTCATTGCTATCGGGATGTTAAGAGCATTCCATGGAATATAACAAAAAGTGTATCTCGAGCCGGTTTCTCAAACTTACCTACCCCACCTTTAAGTACAAAGACGAATCGTTCGCGAATGTGCAAATCACCAGAAGCGAACCGGTGACCGAATCAGTGAACAAATCTTTAAAGTGAACTGAATCAAAAGATTTGTGTCCCCGAAGGGAATCAAAATGCCCATCACTACGTCACACGCGGGAGGTCACGTGCGGAGGCTTTTTCATGCGGAAGTGAAAATGTCTTACTAAAACGACGCCAGATGTCACTGTAGTGTATATTTCTGTATATTTTTTGGAAAATCTAGTGTATTCATCATTTTCCTACACATTTATTCACTGGTGTCTTTAACCTGCAAGTTGCTCTTTAACAAAAAAAAAAAAAAAAAACGGCTCGAGCCGGCCCCTGTCCTTCACTTAAAAGAGCCGGCTCGTTCGCGACCGACACATCACTACTAGCAGTATCGCTAGCAGCCACATTGTTTAGGCTGTCAAATACGCTGCACCGTTTTAGATTCAATGAGTGTCTCGTTTGCAAATGCTTCATTAAGTTGCTTGTGTTACCCCCTTTACAAGCAACTAATTGAGTATATAGATTGCACCTTGCACTATCGCCACTACATTTTTTAAAGTGCACCCAGACCTTCGATCGCTTCGCTCTGTCCGCCATGCCTGCGGGAGTCTCACAACAATAATAAGAGCACTGTTGAGAGAGATGACGAGTGGCATTTACAGTGGCCAATCAGAGGGGTCTCAACCCGGATACATTACACGGGATGAGGGTTCCCAACCAGCCAGAATGGTTTAAAGTTAAACTAAGGAAGTAGACGTAACACATATACCGATAGCAGCACCGTTTGTCCAGCGGCTTAACGGTATACCAATACCGTCCAATCAGGTACCGGAATTGACTTGGTACCGGTTCTCGATACCCATCCCTATACAGTACTGTAAAGCACTTTCAGGAGTCTTAAAGACCGGATAAAGCGCTATAAATACCATTTATCCCATCAGTGCTTGAAAAATCAAATCAAATCCTGACCTTTTAAATCTAAAGTTTATTTTCTGCAAATGTTCTCCCTAACATCAAGTCATATCATATATATGTGTTCCACTTATGGATGATGTTTCTCTTTTAGGGGCGTTCATTATCTTTCAAGACATTCCTGATCTGGGTTTTGATCAGCATCTATCAAGGTAAGGTGCTCATTCTAAAACATAATAGCTCTTATATCTGTAACTGAGCCAGGTACAGCATGGCTTGTCTGTACAGAATGTGCAGTCTGCTACTGTAGACTGTCAAAGCAACTCTTCAACCACCATTTCATCATCTCTCTCTAGCGTGTCTTAATACCAGGGTCCCCGGGCCCCCTTCAAACTCTCGGACGGTCACTTTCTCAGTATCTTAGGTTTCCAACCGCCATCCGCCTTTACATGCGGGCTTTTGTCCGTCCAGTAAATCGATATTTCTGTAATCGCTAAGCCATGCAGCGTGTGGGAAAGATCTATGTTCCTGCTGGAGCGTGACTTCCTGACAGCTCGGGGTTTTTTAATTAAAGGCCAATACCAGGTCTCTGGTACGGGTGGGGGGGGGGGGGGGGGGGCAGGTTAATGTAAAGACGATATGAGAGGACGACAGCGGAGGAGGAGGAGGAAAATGTTAGCCGCCAATCTAGCTTAATTTATTACAGAGTTTGACTCGCTGGAATGTGCTATATGGAGACTATGAAGCAGCAATTATGTGATCCGTTAGAGGCCATTGAGCTCAATTTGTGTTGGTTATGATAGAATGAAGAGCTATCAAGATACAGCAGGCGCCTAAAGATGACTGAGTGTCTGGATACTAAAATATGTTACTCAGACAGACTCACTGAAGCACCTTTAACTCTTGTAAAGTTATTAAATCAGTCCTTATCTCCAGACATCCTTGCCTCAATGTCCCAGGCAGCTGATTGTGGAGCAGACCTGAGAAAAAATGATGAAGAAATAATACTTTGAAAATGACACAACCTTCTCTTTACAATCCTGGGCTGTGATCTTATTTTTTTTTAAAAACAGGTCTTATGTGTTTTCCTAACCATTTTTCGTAACCTCAGTGAAAACGTCCTTGCGTTAACGAAAGATGTGAAGGAGAAATCATCAGGAAAAGACAATTACAGTGCTGAGACAGTGCAACTTCTAGTGGAAAGCAGATGTTACTGATGTGCGTCCTTTGTGGGAAAACCATATCTTCCATAGAGTGACTAAGAAAAGGGCGTGTGTTCATATCAAGATGGTTCATGCGGGCTCTATAAACGTGGACAGGCAAAAGATTATTTACAATTTCTTTATGAAGGTTTGAATGAAAAAACAATTGTTGATATGAAATAGTAGCATGTGCTCACCCTCAACCTCCTTTCCCCTCAGATGTATCAACATTACCCTATTTATTAGTCCCAATAAGTATGAGTGGAACATAAAAGCACTTTAGCAAGTTTTGACAAGAGGGGAAATTCTAAATAAGCAGTGTAACTGACATGATGCTTATTTGGCCACAATAGATCGTTTCTGTGAACGGCAAAATGTTGCATCACTTAAAATGTTGCATCACTTAAAATGTTGCATCACTTAAAATGTTGCGGCTGCAAGGAATTGTGGGACAGCGTTATCTCCTTTCCTTTAGTCGAGGATGGTCCGGTGTTTCCTATGCTGCAGGAGATAACAAAGGAAGCATTGAAGCTCCTTTGGTATCATCTAGAAAATTCAAAAAGATATTATCATGGCTATCACGGTACTTCCGTGTCATTTCACTCCCTAAGGAACTTTTCAAAAATATTATTCAACAACAGCCCTTGTTTAATCCGCCTCCTCCATCACAAATGTGTTCTGGTAATATCATGTGGTTGATGTGTTTCCTCTGGCCACCAGGGGGCAGCCTCATGTACGGCGCGCTGGTGCTGTTTGAGTCTGAGTTTGTGCACGTGGTGGCCATCTCCTTCACTGCGCTCATCATCACGGAGCTGCTGATGGTGGCGCTCACCATCCGCACCTGGCACTGGCTCATGGTGGTGGCCGAGTTCTTCAGCCTGGGCTGCTACCTGGCCTCCCTCGCCTTCCTCAACGAGTACTTCGGTAGGTCTCCATTTACTCCACGCTTGTATCTTTGAAAATCTCTGAAACTAAAAGAAAAGCTTATTTGTTTAATAAAACAAATATATGAATGTGTCAAAGTTTAATGAAAACTGAAAATATATAAATAAATATGAGAGAAGTTACCCACACAAGGCTTTTGGAAAAACGTCAGTTAACTTACATTTTGCTATAGATTCATCTGCTTATTCCTTTCTAAATAAATACATGTTGTGACGTTATTTCTCTTTAAAATGTCAAAAGATATAGAACAATTATTAAGGTAATTAATAGTTAAAATTATGAAATTGCTACTTTTGTTCAACCAGTTCAAAACCCAAAGAAATGTAGTTTAATATCACATGTGACAAAGAAAATAAGCAAATCCCCACATTTCAGACTTTGAAATGACTCGAGCTTATTAAAATAGATCCCAAATAAGATATCATTTGAATACATTGGCTAATCCATTATGGTCTGCTTTCATGTAGCACATAGCTCTGGCTTTTCACTATAGTAGAAGCATATCTTCACTTAACCCTTTTAATCCAGTATTCATTTTACACTTTCTCTCTGCAACAGCTTTGTGTTGAATCTAATGTAACACTACAACACTACTCCTAATGGTGTGCAGTAGCTTTAGCTCTGTGCTTTTATGCTTCCGTCTGTCTGTCCCTGTCATCACTGCTAACCTGTCTCTCACTGTTTCTGCTGCTCTCTTATGCTCCTGTATGTTTGCGACAGGCATAGGCAGGGTGTCCCTGGGAGCTTTCCTTGGTAGGTTGGCAGCCTGTCAGTTGATCTCCTCATGTCTCTCTTTGCACTTCCCAGTGATGTTTGTTTGTGTCATCATGTTGTCTTTTTTTCATTTGAGCTTGTGTCATCATGTTGTGATTGGATTCTTCTCCGCTGTCTCTCCACTGTTCGTGTGGTTTTATCCCCCTGTGATCAAGTTATACTAGATTGAGCGCTTACTTTCCTGTGAAGTAATAAACCACAAAAAAAATGTGTATTCAAGCTGTTCTCCCCCCCCCAGACCTGTCCTTCATCACGACGTGGCCTTTCCTGTGGAAGGTGTCGGCCATCACGTTGGTCAGCTGTCTTCCTCTCTACATCATCAAGTACCTGAAACGCAAGTTCTCCCCCCCGAGCTACTCCAAACTCTCCTCATAAGCCATGAGCTTTCTATTGTCAGCACTTTTTCCACTCGCCGATCCTCAGTGATGGACAGGTAAGGAACCACTGGAACAATCCAAAATGGAGGGGAATCAGTTCTTCGGATTATCTCACTGAGATTTGGGATTACTTGAAAAAACAGAGCACATGGGAAAAAAAACTCTAAACGATGGATTTAGTCACGCAAAAGAAGGGCAACACGGTGTGAGTGACTGCACTAAGACCCCATTTTTCATAAAGGGTCAATCTGCCTTTATTTGTTTTAACGCATTTCAAACAATCCAAATGTCATTTTATACAATTCTGCATTTTTTTGGATGTCTACATTTTAATATGTGAAGTTTAGAATTTTTTTAGTGTCGTTTTTTTATTCTTGGTATTAATTACAGTTGCCGGCCTGCATTTTTTAACTGAGTTGAGTAGGGACAAAAGTGTTTTCTTTGTTACTGTTAATAAAGCCTTTACATGCAGCATTTATCCTTAATGCTGTCACGGTAAAACCAACTGCACTAACTCCTTAAAGATAAACACAACATTCACAAATGCTGGTAAAACTTTATTTCTGTGCGTTTGCTGCTTTGCGTCCTTTACATTTTGTAAGACGGCGCATGACATTATCATCTCTGTATTATGAACCAGCACTCCATAGCAGCATTAAACATCGTTTTGTTAGTGTATTTGCGATGTTTGTCGATGTCTGCCAAACTTCCTGTTTGGACGTGGCGGCTGGCTTTGTGCCTCATCATGACGTGTGTTAGTGTGCTGAAGCTGCATCTCACATAAACAATCATCAGAGGTGTTTGTTTTAGTTACCTCTGCAGCCAGATGTGAACTTCGAGGAACTTAAATTCTCTTAAAGAAAAAAAATGTCCGAAGGGGAAACCACTTAAAAAGTCACAACAAAGGACCCCGAACACTGACGGCTGTTTATTTTTAAACCTTTACTGACAATATGACTCCCCTGGGCTTCCATGTGACTTTGTCCTGTAGCAGACGGTGACATTGAGCTCTCTTTGAGGAGGAATGAGTTTTATCATTCCCTCTGTGTAATGCTATTGTTGAGCATGATCTAAGCTTTGCGTTAAATCAGTTTTTTTAAATATACATTTCAGTATACAGGATTTATTATAGCTATGATTATTAGTCTGGTTGTCATATATGTTTGAATCATAGTTGAGTTAAACTCAGGTCGATCATTCCTAAACACGGCTGTTAGTTTAAATCGTGGCAACCATACTTTAAAATGTAGCTACACTATAATAAAAAAGACTAATAAATGATGCAGTTATGTGACTGCGACACAGCGTTTTAAATTCCTGATTGACATTCTGATGAAGAGCAATTCCAAAAGTGTATTCCTGCTGAGACCGGTGTTCAGTGTGTGATAATGTATACACTTTTCTTTCTTGTCAACTTGCTTTCCCTGTCCTACACTGCGATTTCTAACAGTATGTCTTTATTTATACAATTGTTATTGAAAATGAATAATAAAAAGAGACAACAGTTGCTATACATATCAATTTTTTTATAAACATCTATATAGCAACAGAAACTCTTCAGAAGAGTTTGTTTTATTCACCATGAAGTGAATCTTGTGGCCACTAGACGGAGGTAGAGACTAAACCTTGGACATGGATGTGGCTCAAAGTAAAGTATTACACTGAAATACTTATACTGCTAATATATACTTTTACTCGAATACAATTCAGAGGCAAACATTTTACTTTATCCTCCACTACATTAATTGCCCACTTGGTTTCGGATTTATTTTATTCATTTAAAATATCATCAATACATATATATTTTTGAATTGTATTTGTATTTTAGATTTATATAACTTTAATAGCCCCCTGTTGAATAACTTGGTAATCAAACCTTTTGCATCAGAAAGCAAATAAAGTGCTAATTTATTTAAAATATTTGTTTTGAATTTGTATTTTTATGTTTTAAAGATCCCATTGTATATTAAGCGAGATTTATTTTGATTATAAAGCATATCTAGAAGCCATACAAATACTGTGAAAGTGTCAAAATGCTAAATCAACGCTGGTGACATGTGCGCAGTCTGTGTTATATGTCTGTGGTAGTGATGGTTCTTACTGATGTTTGTTTAAAAACATTTAGCTTGTGCCAATTTATCCACTTAATTTGCCTTTTCATGGTCAAAATCTGAGCTGGACTTTGGGTCAAACTTTGTAATGTGATATCGTTTATTTATTCATTTATATACATTCTAAATCCACAGTGAAATGCAGGGGTGTTTCCTGGACCTGGAAACATTCGGGGCTTAGCCCACAGTTTATTAAGGTACATTAAGGTACCGGGCGCTACAGTGGAACTTTCTACTGCAACACTCCCCACACGCACAAACACAGTACACCTGTGACTGTTACAATGAAGGCTTGATAATCAGCTCACGGCATATAGGTGTAAGCGGGGGTAACATCCGCTAGGGGGGTCCTCACCTCCTCTACGGGGGTCCGGGGGCATTCTCCCCCGGGAAGATTTGTTTTTAAATATTGAAGTTAAAAGCATCAATCTGGTGCACTTTGAGAGCAAAATTTAGAGATATGCATACTTATTTTAACACCCATATGAAACAGAACTCTAAACAGATTTTCTGCGAAAGCCCCGGATGCCCAGCCCAGGCGACGCACCTGGTGAAATGCATGCAGTCTGTTTCGAGAAACTGCCTTTAAAGGAGCAGCCAGGACCCCTATTAGGTTATGATGTCACAGCTAAAGTGAGCGGTATAAATGATGCTCTACTCCGTGTAACACAGTATAAACTGAGGAGTGAGTTTCATGTGTTTTCTTCACTCCGCTGGGAAACTGCTCTCATGTCAAGAAGCAACAGATCAGTGCATGCGCAGCATCGTCCAATCAGTGAGCGATACACAGTAAGGGGGCGGGGCGACTGTCTGAGGATTTCACCGGAGGATGGTCCGGTAGTTCCTCGACTATCGTTCATACATACTAGTGATGGGAATTATGGCTCTTTGAAGGGAGCCGGATCTTATGGCTCCGTTCCTTTCAAAGAGCCGTTTTTTTTTAAAGGGGGCGGGGTTACTAGGTTTATCTCACCAGGATAATGATTGACTGTATTGCCACACCTAATGTCAATAATCTGCATTGTAAACATGACACAAGGTGGCGCCATATCCATGTCATTCATGTCAGTGAATGTGCTACTTTGAATGTGCTTTGTATGTGTTAAAGGGGACCTATCATGCAAAATGCACTTTTGTATGTCTTTTATATATGAATATGTGTCCCCGGTGTGTCAGGGAACTAACCAAGTGTCAGAAAACACAACCCTCTCTCTTTTCCTCCATACCCAAATCTCTAAAAACGGGGCTGCAACGGAGCTGATTATTATTTGAATGTTTCTGACGTCAGAAAAGGGGTGCTCCGCCTATAAGGGAAACTCTCCACCTATCAGGGGAATGAGAGACCGCTCAAAAGCACTGGAGACGCTGTAGTACATATGCCAGGTCTGTAAGTGGCGCTGTAGTCTGCCACAAAAGCAGAATCAGCCCTTGCAAAAACAGGGCTGGAAAAGAGCAAATAGAGCAAAATGAGGCATGACTAAAATGCATGATCTGTTTGGTATTTTGAAATACAAACTTCACAGACATGTTTTATATAGGTATGGCCCTACAATATATGTTTCAAATATAGCTTGATAGGTCCACTTTAAGTAAATAAAGTTGCCTTGCCTTGAATGAAATTCACGCAACTCTTATTATTAGATACTGTCGTTTTTAAGTGGCGATGGAGATTATTTGTTGACCCTGCTTTAAAGGATATGTTGCCTTTACAAATGGTGCGCTTTATCACTGCCTGGGTTTTGGTTGAAGTGCATCCAAATGCTGCTGCGTTTTGGCGTTTGGCTAATTTTCCATCCGAAAAACACGTCGTCTACCTGTCCTGTACCACTTGTTATGACTTCTCTCTCTCGCTTATTCCATTAAGACCCACCCCATCTCACTCCTCGTGCTGAAACCTACCAATCAGAGTAGGGGCAGGTCTTCACAGAATACGTGTGGGGAACAAAATCAAGCTTTTTAAAAGGCGAGTGGATTTTGGCAGGCAGTGAGTACGAACCAACGATTGAACGATAACAAGAACGGCTCTCACCAAGTACGGTTCCCCTCGTTCGTACCAAAGAGCCGTTCAAAAGAACCGGCTTGTTCGCGACCGACAAATCACTAATACATACTATCGCTCCATTATCGCTCCTCGATCCTCGGTTCTCCAGCACAAATAAGGCCACTGGGACGCTACTCAAAATGACCAATCAGAGAAGAGGATGCTTTTTCGGAAGACTTCTTAAAGAGACAGGCCCTAAAACGAAGCGTTTCCGACAGAGGGTAAAATCAGCAATAGAGAGGCGAAGCCCCTCTCCTTCCGGTGGACCTCCATGGGACCTTATTTCGGAAAAAGTATGTATTAAAGTCAATGGCGAGAGAAAGATTATCTTTCGATCCCGTTTGAATTGTGCCACGACTTACACATAGGCTATGATATTTGTCAATTTAAAAGATAATTTTGCAAGTCAAAAAAATTAAAATGAGTCGTAAAACTGAAGAACAAAACATTTTGTGTGAAACGCTCAATGAACTACATCTCTGGTCTCGCACACGTCACCACACACCAAGATGGCCGTCACGTTTCACCTCTTTCTTTCAGAATGAGGCGAAAAGTAGTAAAAGAGGTGAAAATGACTACAAGTCTGGGCATGTTGAGAGCTGTACATACAAAAAAGGGGAGTTAGTCTGTCCGTAAGAGCCAGCATGCGTGACCGGCTTTACAAGGTTTCGGTGAGTACACGAGTGTAATGTGTAACGTTAATGACATCTCTTACAGGACTCTGGGATTTGTAGTCTTTCTAGTTACGTATTTTCCATAGTCTTATATTTCAATAGTTTTACGACAAACTGTGACTTTTTTCACATGGAAATGTTTTTTTAAGATTGACAAACATCATATGTGTAATTCGTGGCACAATTCAAACGGGATCGAAAGATAATCTTTCTTTCCCCATTGACTTCAATACATAATTTTTCCGAAATAAGGTCCCATGGGGTGGAAGTAGAAGGGCGGGACTTCGCCTCTCTATCAGGCCTACATTATGAGAAACATAATGTGTTTTTTGTACATTAAAGCATGAACACAAGTTGTAGTCGAAGCCCTTAAAGGTCACCTATTGTGCAAAATCCACGTATTCATGTATTTTCTACATCAACATGTGTTCCCTCTGTGTAAAGAGATTTTGAAAGTTTCAAGAAAAAAGATTGGCTCACTTTTTGTCCTGATCCATTTATATAAAAACCTGTCTGAAAATGAGCTGATCAGATCTTGGCGACTTTATGATGTCATAACGATTTTTTGGCATGTGTAACCATTTCAATCAGGAGAGACGTTGATGTATGAAATACATATTTATTACTGGGACACGTAATATGAATGAAATAATGATTGCCAGAATTGAGACAGGAGAATGGAATGGTGTTTGGTGATTAGGCCCCGGTTTGCAGGTTTATCATTCAGGAGGGGAAGAACCGCTCCGAAGAAACCCCCCGGGGTCTAGACACTGGTGGTGGTGGTGGTGATAAGTAGGTGGGAGCGGTCTGAAGGGAGAAGGATTAGCTTGGTCCTGTAGGAGACGGGAGGCGAAAGGGGTGGAGGAGGGTTGCGTATTGTCACCTGAAATGACAGCTGACAAGAGGGAAGAGCAGATATAAAGGGGTTAGCGGGTGCAACGATAGGCTTGTGAGAATGGAGAGAGGAGTGATTGGTTAGCTGGGGAGTGACACCCCCGATCACTTAATGAGGGAGGAGAGGGTAAAGAAGTGACGTGTAATATGAATGAAGAGCTTGGTCTTCCTGCTTGAACTTGCGCTAAGCTTCATTAGCCAATCACCAACCAAGCTAAGCTAGTAATGATTTATGCATGTAAACGGTCTGCAAAAACCCTCAAAGTACATCCTGTAGCGAGTAAAACTCTAACACAGAAAAGACCTCCCCAAAACGCCTCGTTGGAGATTTCTCATTTTCCATTGTTTACTTCCTGGGTACTCTGACGTGTGAATACCCAGAGGCCACACATTAATTGTTGTTTGTGTATTTATGATGTTTAAAAAAACAAGGTATCTACCACGACTGTTTAAATGGGTAAACGTTTTTCAGGCTAAATGCTCTCCACAGACTCATGTTCACAGCGTTATAAACCTTTTTCTTACTCAATATCAAGCCACACTTATTGTTTTTACTTCGGCTGTGAGTGTTTGTGTGTGCTCAGGATGAGTTTTGCTTGTTCTCCTGTATCGCCGACACGGAAGCCTGTCCGCTCCTCGCAGCAGATCGCAGCAACGAGCCTCTGACGTCGCGACCAATCAGAGCACACTGGGCTCACAGGGAGGGGGGGGGGGAAGGAGCTCCAACAAGCCGTTTAGGACAGAGAGTGAATACACATACTATACAGAGATGCTGTATGAGGAACCAATGTGAGT